AAAAAGAGGATTGACATGGATGTTAGCTCAGGGCTGATCTTCCTTAAGGAAAAAACAAGAAAAAACCCAAACCATAATAACCCCTTTACATGTTTACAGAAATAACATTTTTATGAAAAATAACTATTTTCTAAAACAAAAAATACTGAATGATAAAAGTGGCATTGTTTTACGTTTTTACAGATCCTTTTTTTTTTTTTTTTTTTGGTGAGGAAGACTGGCTCTGAGCTAACATCTGTTGCCAATCCTTCTCTTTTTGCTGGGGAACTTAGCCCTGGGCTAACATCTGTGCCCATCTTCCTCTGTTTTGTATGTGGAATGCCGCCACACAGGGCTAAATGAGTGGTGAGTATGTCCACGTGCGGGATTCAAATCTGCGAACCTGGGGCCGCCAAAACAGAGCGTGCGAACTTAACCACCGGGCCAGCCCCTTTACAAATCTTTTTAATGTTTGCGTAAATAGAAGTTGGCAGACTTCTCACATCTGCTCGTGCGTTCACTCTGTTGCGATATCACAGGTCATATTGCCTCAGGAGAACTCATCTGTAACTTATGAGATGAGAGTAAAAATGGCAAATACCATCTTGGTATGATAATGAAACTGGGTGTGACCTCATGGAGTCCCTGAAAGGGTGTCAGTTCCCCATCAGTACTTTTCAAACCACTGCTCTACACTATTTGTGAGCTGTGGGATCCCTGGTATTTTGCACATGTTCCATCAACTCTCTTTCTTTGCTTTGTTGCAGAGTCCTTTGGACAGAATTATCCAGAGGTAAGAATACAGTATTGTTGTGATTTTAGCAATATGTTAACTTGCTAGCTTTTACGTTTGAGTGGAAAATGCATTTTGATCCCTTTTTTTTTTTTCTTTTGGACAACAGAAGGAACTAAGTGTTTAATTTTGAGCAAGGGAGGGAGATAGATAGGCAATATTGGCTGGAAAATCTCACCGTAATGTTGTAAATCTTATGGTTCATTTCCCTTTAAATTAAAACAAGACTTTGATTGAGAGTTTTTCACAAACAGTACTGTCACCTGTACATAGATTGATTTTTCCTGTGTGCTTTTGTAGATTTGATCAATGTTTTTACATAGTAATAATCAATATGTATGTTAGAAGTGTGCTTTACTTTTCTTTTTTTTTTGTGAGGAAGACCAGCCCTGAGCTAACATCCGATGCCAATCTTCCTCTTTTTTGCTGAGGAAGACTGGCCCTGGGCTAACATCCATGCCCATCTTCCTCTACTTGATATGGGACGCCGCCACAGCATGGCTTAACAAGTGGTGCGTCGGTGTGCGCCCGGGATCCAAACCAGTGAACCCCGGGCCGCCGCAGCAGAGCGTGTGCACTTAACCACTTGTGCCACCGGGCCGGCCCCTACTTTTCTTAAATGTAAAAATATTTTGTAATACTTAGAATATGTTTCAATGTAGTCATTATGGTTGTTTTAAATGGCTTGATATTAATATAAAATAATTTATTTGACTCTCCTAATGTTCCAGGGTTTTTGTTTTAAATTACTTTTCTTGGAATAAATTCCAAGTACTATGATTACTGGGTCGATAGGCTAACTCTTTTAATGAATCTTTTATATTTTACCTAATTGCCCTCCAGAGTGTGTGTACAGAGTTACAGTGGTGGTATAAGGGATTGATCACATCTGTTTCCAAAAATTCTCTGTTAGCTTTTATAAATCTTTCTTCATTTTGGCTAGTTTAATAGGTGTAAGAACACACATAGAGATTATTTTGGTGTATGGTACATCATAATTTAAATTCAAGAGAAGTATCATGGATGATAGAGAACCTTTAAGAAATAATTTGGATACCTGGGTATTATTGCCTATATTCTTGTGTTTGTTTTAATTTTTAGGAAGCTGATGGAACTTTGGATTGTATCAGCATGGCGCTGACTTGCACCTTTAACAGGTGGGGCACGCTGCTTGCAGTTGGCTGTAATGACGGCCGAATTGTCATCTGGGATTTCTTGACAAGAGGCATTGCTAAAATAATTAGTGCACACATCCATCCAGTCTGTTCTTTATGGTAAGTAATTTTAATATTAATGTATTTAATATGAGTTAAATGAGAGGGATGAATGGTGACTGTGTAATTGCCAATCTGATGGTAGATATTTTAATATTTAGAGTTATATTAAATATTCAGCCATTAGTAATACAATTTCTCATAGCTTATGTGGACCTTGAACCCATGCTGTCCTTGAAGCACCTTTGTGGGGAGAAATTCACTGTAATATGGATGTATGTCAGGCTCTGTCTGGGAATATTTCAATACTGAAATGAGATATTTACAGGTTGCAGCTGTAGTAATATTTGTGATATTGACCTTTCATTTAAAATAAAAATTCTTGATTAGGAGGGAAGCTGGGGAGTCATCTAGTCCAGCCTTGTTCAGGTTCTTGAGTTCCAGCAGTCTTACCCAGCAGTGATCACAAGCATGCTTCTTCCTTGATTGGATTATAGTTACTAAGGCTTTCTATTAAATACATGGAGCTGAAGTCTGGTGTGATACAGATTCCCATTGGTTTCTTACTCTCTGAGACTACCCTGTTTGCTTCAGAAAATTTTATTTTGGAGCAGCACTTCTTTTGAATGAATTTGGGGCCAAAAAAAGCACCTAATCAGTTGTAGATTTATTAAACTGTAACGTATTTCCTTTTGTCTAAGTACAAGCAGCAGTGGTATTGTAAAGCCCTGCATTGGGAGGTGGCCTGAATCCCAGTCTAGGTTTGGCCACTAATGAACTGGTGGCTTTGGCCAAAACTTTTCTCTAATATGCAAAAAGAGCACCAGCCTGGATGATCTCTTAGGTCTTTTCCAGCTCCTTTGCATTTCATTTCTTTTTTATTGTTGTGTTCTTGCAGTGAAGATTTAAAAAGATAGGTATATTTTTAACAGCTTTAAGATATATATAATTCATATACTATAAAATTCACTCAAAGTGTACAATTCACTGGTTTTTATAATTTCACAGAGTTGTGCAACCATCATCACAATCTAATTTTAGAACTCTTACCTATCAATAATATACATATATTTTTATTATAAAATAATATAGAATGTTAGAAAATACAGCAAAGTAGAAAAAAGAACTACTATCACCTGTAGTCCCACCACCCACATATTATTGCTGTATTGCCCAGATACAAATATTTTAATGTTTTTATGTACAGTTTTTAAAAAACTGAATTTATAATTGTGCTATATTCTATTTTATATTTTGCTTTTTACCTCCTTAACACTGTCCAGACATTTTCCTGCTTGCATAGCCTTTGAAAACTTTTTTTATTGCTATATATCTTCTGATAGATAAACCATAATTTACTTAATCATTTTTTGTTTCTCTGCTACATAATATTTAGTGAATGTCTTTGTGCATAAAGTTTTTGTCTCATATATTCATTTGTTCAGCAAACACTGAACATGAGTTATGTACCAGGTACTGTGTTAGGCTTTGGGGACATGCAACAAATAAGGGGAAATTGTTGATTAGTAGGGGGAGATGCGTGTGCATATGGGTACATAATACTGAAGCTTTATAGGTCCTATACAAGAACTATATTTGAGATTTAGTGGAGGCGAAGGTACAAAGGAGGAAATGATCAATTGTACTGGAGGAGAATAGTGGCCAGGGAAGGCTTTAAAGATGAGGTAATTTCTAGCCTCAAAGTTGTAAGATGAGTAAGTGTTTGCCAGTTGTGTTCTAAGCTGAGAGCACTGCACAGGTCAAGGCATGTTGGCTGGAAGCAAGTGTGGTAAGATGAGGACCTCAAGTAGTTCAGGATAGCTGGATCATGATGTGGGAGGTGTGATGTGCAGCAGCCAAGGTAAGCTGAGATCCTAATGGAGGTCATTGTGTGCCACACTAGGAATGTGGACTTTATCTTGTAGGTACTGTGAAGCCATTAAAAGATTTCAGGAAGAAAAATGACATGATGAGCGTTGTATTTTAGAAAGATCTTTGGAACAGCGTGTGTAAGAAAGATGGAAGGGGGCAGTGAATGAAGATAGAAGAATTGCAGTGGTTAGGCTGGAGATGAGGAGAGTTGAAGTGGCAATGGAGCTGCGTGGTACAGATATGAGAAATGGTAGAAATAAGGGGTCTTGGTCATTAATTAGATAAGGAGTGGGAGTGAAGTAGAGAAGTTAAGATGATCCTCAGGTTTCTGGCTTAGATGAAGATACTAATATAAGATTTGAGGGGAAATGGTGAGCTTGAGAACATGGTTGCATGTCTCCTTATATTTTCTTGCAATTACTTGCTGTATGAGTCTCTTCCCTGGAAGATGGTAAGTGCTGTGATCCATGAATCTTGTCTGCCATTTTACTGCTGTATTCCCAACTTCTAGCATTGCACCTGGTGTCTAGCAGGTGTGGAGATCCTGGTTGGATGAATGGGGGTATCTTAGTGGAGATGCCCAGTAGGCATTTGATCTGTGATGTTTCGTTAGAATTGACTTCCAGAAGTGTGTTATTACTAGGTCAGAGGGTTTGAACAGTGAGAGATTTTCTCCCTCTCCCCCCAACGTTTTTTAACTTTTTATCACAAAACTTGATTATTAAAAACTTAAAAAAAATTCAAACAATGTATGAATATATAAAGAAAAGAATGAAAGCCCGTTGTCTTCTCCTTGAGATAACTACTGTTTGAGTATGGAATATATCTTTTATCTATAAGATATACTTATGTCCTTTTCTCTGCATATATCAAAAACTACATGCACATATCCATTGTATATGTTTTTTTAAAAAATGGTGACATGCTATATATTTTGTTCTATATCTTGCTTTTCACTTAATGTATAGTGGATGTTTTTCTGTATTGAGAGAGAGATATATATATTTCATTTTAAATAGATGTGTGTGTGTATATATATATGTGGTATTGCATAGTATATATGCATGATAATTATGTAACTGTTCCCTAATTTTTGGTATATATAAGTATACTGATATACATCACGGTTAGGATCAGTAGTTACACGCGTTTTATGTTTTTCTTTGATTTAGCCTCATTTAGAATATAACTTGTATTATTTTAATTGTTGTATAATATTTGAACATATTAGGGACTAAGCAAGTTTCACCAAGAGAAGTTTTGGGTAGGCATGCTAGCTGTCTTTACCTATTAAAGAGCTGACATGTACAAGACAGAAAAATGGGCTCAAGACGAAGCAGCAGGACTAGTGGGTAGTGAACAGAAGTTACAGGGACACAGATGTTAGCTTAGAGTAGAGGTGAGTTCCCAAGCAGAGGAGCCCAGGGATGGGACAGACTGCCCAGGAAGGCACTTGTCACTGGGACTATCTGGGCTTGCTGCCCTCTTCTTGGGGATGCTGCAGAAGAAATTCAACATTGGATGGGGCCATAGGTAGAACTAACTGATCTTTAAGACTCGGAGACTTTAAGACTTAGTAAAGACTCATCTGTCTTTGGAAAGAAACAGAATTGTCAGATGGAGAAAGTATGATAATCCCTAATTCTTAAGCTTATGGAATTTGGAATTGAAAAAAATTTTTGCTGAGGAAGATTCATGCAGAGCTAACATCTCTTGCCAATCTTCCTCTTGGCTTGAGGAAGATTCTCCCTGAGCTACTATCTGTGCCAGTCTTCCTCTACTTTGTATGTGGGTCGCCGCCATAGCATGGCCGCTGATGAGTGGTGTAGGTCTGCACCTGGGAACTGAACCCTGGGCTCCCGAAGCAGAGTGCCTGGAACTTAACCACTAGGCCACAGGGCTGGCCCCCAATTATTTTTTTTTTTTAATGGGAGAACCCCTCTTAGTTTTCACCTCTGTTTATAATTTTTTTTTTTAAATTAGATCTCCCTCTATTATAACAGAAATACAAGCTTGCTGTGAAAGAAAAAGATATTATAGTACGAAAGAGTTTAAAGAAAAAATGGATCATAGCTAACATTCTGTCCTGTAATCAGATTGTGCTAAAAGACTTACAAGAACCAGCAACAAAAGCTGTCCCTTATTTCTCCCCACTCCCAATATTGTCCTATTCCCAGTATACTTCCATTTTTTTGTCTGTTTCTTATATTTCTTATTTCTAAATTACATGTGTCTATTACTTTTTCTTGGTTTGTTAATTTCAGAAATTATCCATGGACTTCCTGGTACGGTGTACAGTATGTGAGTTCATGCTCTTTCCTCCCATCATCCACTGAAATTTGGTGGATCACTGGCTTTTTTGTTGTGAGTCCTTAAGTTAGAGCGTCCGTGGGCCTCTTCCTTTTTAGGTTCACATTCTCTAGAAGGATCTTCTAACTGCCTTTCTGAGGTGTAAGCATGACTGCAAGTGTTCTAGAGCTGGTGGGAGAGAGGGACCAGAGTCCTTTTGTATGTGGAGTTGAACTTAATTCCTCCATATTCACTTCCTCACTTTACCCCTGCCTCCTCTGTCCCTCAGGTCCTGAGTCTGAGAATACATTTATCTTGTCTCTGATAAAAATAATTGTTAATGTTTTTTGAGCGCTCGTTTTGTGCCAGGCTAGGAGTTTTATATGTATTAATTTTAATTCTCTCAACAGTCTTCTGTGGGTAGATACTATTATTAGTCCCATGTTATAGGTGAGGACATTGAAGCTCAGAAAGGTTATATAATCTGCCTAAGATCACACAGCTAGAAGCTGGATAATGTCTAGGCTTCAGCGTAAGTCTGAGTCTCAAGCCTGTGTTCTTAACCACGGAGGTATATTGCCTGCTGAGTTCCTCTGTTGCAAAATTTAGATAAATATTGGTTTTGGGTTTCTTTGTTCCTTCTGTTTTTCATTTATCTGGGTTTTTTTTTCCTGCTTTCCTGTGGGTTTCTTGAACATTTTTTAGAATTCCATTTTGATTTGTCTATGTTATTTTTGAGGGTGTTTCTTTGTATAGCTTTTTAGCGGTTACTAGGTATTACATCGTATATACATAACTTACCAAGGTCTGCTGGTCTTGACGCTTCACCAGTTCAAGTGACGTGTGGAAACCTCATGTCCCTTTACCCACCTTCCTTTATAATATAATTGTCTTAAATATTTCTTCTGTGTATATTGAGACCCACATGAGACAGTGTTATAATTTTTGCTTCAAATGTCAAAACTCAAGAAGAGAAAAAAGTCTATGTTAATTTACCCATATTTATATTCTTTTCATTGTTCTTCCTGATGTTCTAAGATTCCTTCTTTTATCATTTCCTTTCCGTTTAGAGAACTTTTTTGAGCCATTCTTTTAGGGTAGGTCTGCTGGCGAGAAATGTCTTCATTTACCTCTTTGTTCCTGAAGGATATTTTCACTGGATATAGAATTTGGGCTGACAGTTCTTTTCTTTCAAGTACTTGAAAAATGTGCTACTTGCTTCTGGCCTCCATGGTTTCTGATGAGAAATCTGCTCTTATGTGAATTGTTCCCCCCAGGTAAGGGCTTGGTTCTCTCCTGCTGCTTTTAAGATTTTTTCTTTGTCTTTAGTTTTCAGAAGTTTGTCTCTGTCTTGGAGTGGATTTCTTTGAGCTCATCCTGTTTGAGGTTCTCTCAGCTTCTTGAATCTGTAGGTTTTATATCTTGCCAAGTTTGGGAAAATTTCAGCCATTATTTCTTGAAATACTTTTCAGCCCCACTCTTTCCTCTGTCTTTCCAGGACTCTGATGATGTGGATATTAGATCTTTTATTATAGTCCCTCAGGTCTCTGAGGCTCTGTTCATTTTTTTCTGTTTTCTCTCTCTTGTTCAGATTGGATAATTTTTATTATTCTGTCTTCCAGTTCACTGATTCTTTCCTCTTCTTTGTTGGCTGCTGAAACCATCTATTAAGTTTATTTTAGTTATTGTATTTTTTGGTTCTAAAATTCCCTTTTTGGTTCTTCTTCTCTATATCTTCTATTTCTTTGCTGAGACTTTCTGGTTTTGTTTTTTTTTTCATTTGTTTCAAGCGTATTCGTAATTGCTCATTGAAACATTTTTATGATGGCTGCATTAAAATCCTTGTCAAATAATTCTAACATCTGTGTCATCTCTGTGTTAGTTTTAGTGTTAGTGTTGTCTTTTCTCATTCAAGTTGGGATTTGTTTGTTCATGGGTTGATGGTGATTTTCAGTTGAAACTTGGGCATTTTGGGTATTGTGTTGTGAGACTGTAGAGCTTATTTAAGTCTTCTGTTTTAGCAGACCTCCTCTGATACTGTGTACCAGGGGGGAAGGGAGGGCACTATCTTGTTATTGCTAGCAGGGTTAAAAGTCCAGGTTTCTCACTTGGTTTCATTATGCTGGGTGGGATTGGAAGTTCAGACTCCCCACTAAGCCTCCTAGACTGATACTGGCCTGGCTGGGAAGGATAGGAGTGCCTTGTTCCTGCTCCCCTCGTTGCTTCCACTAGCAATGCGGTAGGGGTCCTCATTACCACCCGGTAGGTATGAAAGTCTGGCTCCACTCTGAGCTTTCTCTGACACCAATGCAGTTAGGGGGGAAGGGTGCCTTACTATAACTGGGCAAGAGTTGCCATTTAGACCTTGTTGACTGGGATGGAGGTGGGGTTGCAGTTTTTTCTATGTGGTGGTTGCTGGAGTAGAGTGATTATTGTCTAAAAGTTTTCTGTCTCTCTGGGCTGTCCTTTCCTGGCTTTCAGCTGGAGAAAGTAGGCTCTTCTTGAGGCTTTCTATGTGTGTGCCCATTGGTGTTATGAGTTGTTGACTTCTCCTTCGCCCCGTCTGGGATACATGAGGCAAAAAGAAAATCCAAGGAACTCACCATTGTGTCATTCCTCGTATCCTGCAGTCTCTAGCCAGTCTGTCTTTCTGAGGTTCAGAGTCTTTTTGTGTTTGTTTTTTATATAATGTCCAGGGTGTTTAGCTGTACTTAACAGGAGGAATTAATTCCTTTCTTAGTTACTTGAAATAACAGATACTTATCTTTATTGTTTTGTTTACACTCTGATAGTGCTACTTCTGGGACAACCTCAGAAAGCTCACAAACTCCCTCCCCGCCCCCAAGAAAAAGAAACTGTTTTTGTTACATCAACACCTAAGGGCTCTTATAGAGGCTTCTAGAATGTTTGAGTCTTTTATTTCACAGAGCCGCTTGCAATGTTATCTTGAACTGCTAAGAGCTTTTGTGCCTAGATACAGACTGCCATGTAGACGCTCTCATTGCTCAGTTGGGAAAGCTGTTGTGGATGTGAGTGGATGTGAATGAAAGAGATACTGCTGACCCTTGCAGTTAGGGCGATATGTATGACTCATGCGTTCTTATCCATAAAGGGTGTGTGATATCCTTTAACTTGGAACATGTGCTAAGTTACCCTTTTTTCCTTCTCAGCTGGAGTCGAGATGGTCATAAGCTCGTGAGTGCTTCCACTGATAACATAGTGTCACAGTGGGACGTTCTTTCAGGCGACTGCGACCAGAGGTTTCGATTCCCTTCACCCATCCTAAAAGTCCAGTATCATCCGAGAGATCAGTATGTTTAATCTGAGCTCTTCTTTCCTGGGGTGGGATCTGATTCTATATGGATTAGCTCCAGGCTCATGACAATTTCAGTTAAGGTTTTAGGAGGCAAAAGCACACATCTCTTCAAACCTTCTGCATAAAATAATCTTTCTGTCTAGGTTGGCTCTACTGAACAGATTTTAGGGAGCATGTTATTGTATTATATAATTAAAAACTGGCCAATGTTAAGAAATGGGCAAAGGTAGGAATAAGTATAATAACTAGTTGGACCTGGGGCTTTTTCCCCCCTGATTATTTGAATTTATTTAGTAGGGGGAAATATTTCAATATTAAAACTACATTTAAGAAAAAGAATTCCCCGCCATTCCATTACCCAGACATAACTGTCTTCATTTCTCTGGGTTCTCTTTGTCAAGTCCTCCTTGAGTATAAAGCTTGTTTTATAGTGCTTCATAGCTCCCAAAGCACATATATGCATATTAGATGTACATAAATGTGTATTTTTTACATAGTTTTAATCAGTATTTTGCCTTTTCACTTTATTTCATACATATTTTACTAGTTTGCTACATCTTCATATTTATTTTTAATGATTACATTTTATCTTATCAAAGTAGGATCCTGTAACTTTACTCAGTCATGTCCCTATTATTAGACATTTAGATTTTAGGCTTTTTCACTATTTTAAGTTTGCTTGGACTGGGAGAGTTAATGAGAGTAGTGGATAGGGATCAGGGAAAAGAGCAAGAGAGTCAGCCTTCTGATACCAAAGCCACAGCCAATGTACTGTTCATATTTTTAAACAGGAACAAGGTTCTCGTGTGTCCCATGAAATCTGCTCCTGTCATGTTGACCCTTTCAGATTCCAAGCATGTTGTCTTGCCGGTCGACGACGACTCTGATCTGAACGTGGTTGCATCTTTTGACAGGCGAGGGGAATATATCTATACAGGAAATGCAAAAGGCAAGGTAAGCCTAGAAGCTTAGAAGCTTGTGGAATAAGCAGCAGTCATCCTGTGGATTGGCTCATTTCATGTTTACTTGTTCTGCTTCCATTGAAATTTCTTTTATCCGTGGACTAAGCGTGCCTCCTGCCTGTGGCAAATGTGGCCTTTCTGTCATGACTTAATAATAATTTGTTTTGGATTTAGAGTGCTCAGAGATTATTTGGCCTAGAAAAGGATGGAAGGGCCTTTACTGGATGCTAATAATGAAGGGCCATTACTAAATTATAAAATTTAAAAGTCATATTATAAAATGGAATACTGCTGGTGAAAATGTCTAATACCTAGGGGCCGGCCTGGTGGCGTGAGTGGTTAAGTGCGCGCGCTCCGCTGTGGTGGCCCGGGGTTCACCGGTTCGGATCCTGAGCACGCACCAATGCACCACTTGGCAAGCCATGCTGTGGCGGCGTCCCATATAAAGTGGAGGAAGATGGGCACGGATGTTAGCCCAGGGCCAATCTTCCTCAGCAAAAAGAGGAGGATTGGCAGATGTTAGCACAGGGCTGATCTTCCTCACAAAAAAAAAAAGGCAAGAAAATGTCTAATACCTAGTTCTGTAAATATTGTATAATTCAGGCCAGCTTAACCTGTAGTTTTGTGGAGTAAGAAGTCAGGTTAGGTGAGCTTTATGGTCCCTTTTAAGCTTAGAATTTGTAGTTCCATTAGGCACCTTGGTTTTTTGTTTTATTTTGTGACTGGGGCACATGGGCTAGTATAATTTCATGGCTACTTTAGAAAGTGGCAATTTTTTAAATTGTGGTAAAATACATATAACATACAACATAAAATTTACCGTCTTAACCGTTCTTTAAGTGTGCAGTTTGGTGGCATTAAGTACATTGAGATTGTTGTGCAGCCATCACCACCAGCCATCTCCAGAACTCTTCATCTTGCAAAACTGAAACTCTGTACCCATGAAACAGTAATTTCCTGTTCCTTGCTTCCCCCCAGCCTTTGGCAACCATTTTACTGTCTCTCTGAATTTGGCTACTCTAAGTACCTCATATAAGTGGACTCATACAGTATTTTATGTTTTGTGACTGGCTTATTTCACTTCACATAATGTCCTCATCCATGTGCAGCATGTGCCAGAATTTCTCTCCTTTTCAAGGCTGAATAATATTTCATTGTATGTATGTACCATATTATGTTTATCCATTCCTCTGTTGATGTATACATGGGTTGCTTCCACTTTTAGATTGTTGTGAATAACACTAAACATTATATTTTAAGAATAGATTAAGACATTGTCCTTTATTTGAAGAGGTAAAAGGCAATACTAGTTAATTAGGTTGAATACATGGGAATAGGGATGTTTACAGTATATTTTTACTCAGTCTCTGCTCAGTTTTAGAAACAGAAGGCAGATCTAATTACTGTAAGTTATCAGAATACTTACTTTCTTTTCTACTTTAAACTTTAGATTTTGGTCCTAAAAACAGATTCTCAGGATCTTGTTGCTTCCTTCAGAGTAACAACTGGAACAAGCAATACCACGGCCATTAAGTCAATAGAGTTTGCCCGGAAGGGGAGGTGAGACCTTGTCTTTTTGGGGACAGTTTTAAAAGTGAGTAGAATACAAAAATACACTGAGAGTCAGTTTTTTTGTATATTATACTTAAATTAAAAAAAAAGTTTACTGGGACCTGCCCAGTGGCGTAGCGGTTAAGTGCGCGCGCTCAGCTGCAGTGGCCTGGGGTTCGCCGGTCCGGATCCCGGGCGCGCACCGACGCATTGCTTGTCAAGCCGTTCTGTGGTGGCGTCCCATATAAAGTAGAGGAAGATGGACACGGATGTTAGCCCAGAGCCAATCTTCCTCAGCAAACAGAGGAGGATTGGCATCAGATGTTAGCTCAGGGCTGATCTTCCTCACAAATAAATAAATAAATAAATAAAAAATAAAAAAAGGTTTACTTAAGTTATTAGAAACTGCCAATATCTGGTTCTTAAGGTCATAACATTTACTGCATTGAACCAGCAGTCACATCTTCTTCATCTGGAGGTTGTCAGGCCTTTCTTTACAGAAAAGATATCTGAATAGTATGTGCTTAGAACCAAATTCCTGGCACATGGTAAGCACTGGGTAAAGATTAGCTATTGTTATAATCAGAATTGATGTCACAGAATTCTCATAGTAAATGAACATACACTTTACTCACATAAAACCTATTTACCCTTTTAATTTCAAGATGTTTTTCTGATAATTTTAGTTACCCAGCTAGAAGTAGATATATCAACAGAAACAAGAAGAGATAGGTTGTCAGTAAGAGAAGTAACAGTCATCCTATTGCATATAGGAACACCCAAACATACTTAGAGGACATTCATGTTCAAAATTCTTTTGAATTAAGAAGAGGTTAGTAAAGCCTGTAAGAAGGTGGTAAAATAACTTATATTTTAGACAGATTTCCAATGTCATTACAGTAAAAAGTTGAACATATTAAAATGATGTAATTAGTTTATTAACTCATTAAGAAGAATATATTGTGTATAAAACAGACCAGAGATATGAAGTATTTATATACATTTAACTGTAAGCTCGTGAATTCAGCAAGCTGGTTTCAGTTTAGAGGTCTTGGATCTTAATCAAATACTGATGGTTAGTTTGCATATATAGGGCTCAGGGATGCACACGAAGTATAAAACGTATTCTCACTCCAAATTATGTTTTGGTTTGAATGGTGACAAGTAGATACCTAAGTATTTAGTCTCTTATTTAGATTTTTACTCAGTCTCTCTCCAGGTTATTAGTTGTTTCATGGTACTGTTCTAAGTAATAGGTCGTAATAGAAAATGTTAACAGAAACAGATTTCTGACCTCTGCTGTTGATATTTTTATCCTTTCTGTAGTTGCTTTTTAATTAACACAGCAGATCGAATAATCAGAGTTTATGATGGCAGAGAAATCTTAACCTGTGGAAGAGATGGAGAGCCTGAACCCATGCAAAAATTACAGGACTTGGTGAATAGGTGTGTATCACAACCTGGAAGAATGTGTGATAATTCATGACCTGGCTTCAGGTTCTAGTTCTCCTTGGGTACTTTCTTTGTCCTTTAGGACCCCGTGGAAGAAATGTTGTTTCTCTGGGGATGGGGAATACATAGTGGCAGGTTCAGCCCGGCAGCATGCCCTGTACATATGGGAGAAGAGCATTGGCAACCTGGTGAAGATTCTCCACGGGACGAGAGGGGAGCTCCTCTTGGATGTAGCTGTGAGTACAAGGAGAGCTTGCTGTTGTTACTTCCGAAATACGGAAAATCTTGGATTCATTTTTAGAACCAATTTTTCTTTCCTTCATTAAATTTAGTGGCATCCTGTTCGACCCATCATAGCATCCATTTCTAGTGGAGTGGTGTCTATCTGGGCACAAAATCAAGTAGTAAGTATTTTTCTGGTTTAATTGCTTTGAAACTAGATACCCTTTCTTTTTATTAAAGAACCTTACAAATAGTAAGTTAAAAATTATCTTATTTACTTTCTTTTGCGTGTAATTCCTGTAACCTAGATAAATAGGTTTACTGCATCTAGTTTTGCTTTATTTTGATGGTAAGGTCTTGATCCAAAGCCGATTTACTAGGCTCTGTTTTTAGAGAGAAAGTCTAGTGTACTTTCTGTTAACATTTTCCTATTACTTATCTGAGATAAATGTTTTCTTTTGCTTTTCTTATTTTTAGCTCGGTTAGTTTCTGTTTTACATCTTAGTTTTATTGTGAACAACTTTAATTATATTTTTAATCAAGGTACTCATAAAAAAATTTAACGTTTTACCTCAAAATTACATCTTAAAAAGATTAAAGAAGGTAGTTATTTATTGAAGGGCTACGGTTAATAACTTGCAATGTTTAAGAGAGGAAATACCTTAAGATAATAAAACCTATGGATACCTAATTTTTATCTGCCAAATTTGATCTCAGAATTCTGGGTCTCTTTCATGCTCAAATCTTTCATTTATATCACTAGTGTCTAGATTATAGACTGTTGCTTTCTCCTATGGTTAAGTAGTATATTTTGTTTGTGGCATAGGAAAATTGGAGTGCATTTGCACCAGACTTCAAAGAGTTGGATGAAAATGTAGAATATGAGGAAAGGGAATCAGAGTTTGATATTGAAGATGAAGATAAGAGTGAGCCTGAGCAGACAGGTAATATTTCTCAATTGCAGATAGTATTTCCCAAAGGAAAAATGATTGTTTTACTCAGTATTCATTCTTAATTTGTGTTGAAAATTTATTTCAGCACTTAGTCTAAAATGTCATTTTTTTTTTAAGCTTCCCCAGTTTTGACAGTGTTTCGAGAGTCTTCATTTATAAGGCGTTGACCGAGGGCTTACATGGGCATTCCCGGGGCTCAAGCAGCTCTCTTACTGTTTCACTTTGTATTTCCTGACTAATTGCCGACAATTAAATGAGGGTTTCTGTGCAGCACAGGGCAGAGCACCCCTGTATGCTGGGTGCTCAGCTGGTGTCATGTGTTGTGACTCCTTTGTCAGTAAGATGAAGGAAAAGAGCATGGGCTCTGGAGTCACATTGCCTTGGGCAAAATACTTACTCTTGAAACCTGCACTTCCTCATCTGTAAAATAGGGGTAATAATAGAACCTGCCTTGTAGGGTTGTGTGGATAGATGAGGTGATTCATGTAAAGTAGGCCATAATGAGCATTCAGATGTTATTTTCAATTATGATTATCGTCATTGTTATTTCTATCTCTTGTCTTCTGAACTTCTGGATAGAAAGCTCCTTGAGTATGAAGAGTTGACTTTTTATCTCTGTGGTGTCTAACACAGGGCTTTACGTATGGTAGGGATTTGTGTGTATGAATGCTTAGTAGCCCAGTTGGCACTGTCAGTGAGTAATTAATGCCACAGGTCACTGACTGCTGGGCCACTTGATGGTGCTGGGAATCAGGGAGTTGGCATTGAGGTTGATTCTTTCCAGCTTAAAAGTGCAGTTCCTCACTTTTGTGATATTAGATAACATGCTTAATATGTCTTGGGAAGGTGACCAAGATGCAGCATATTCTGGATTGCATTGGTGTTACTGTATTCCTTGAAGCCTTCCCAGACTTCCATATAAGTTGTTACTCCTGCTTGTCTCCTTAGCACATTGCGCATACCTTTCCTGTAGCACTTACTGTATTGAGTTGAAATTATCTGTTTATGTCTGCCTCCCCAGTTAGACCAGGAAGCTTTTACTGAAGAACCATTCCCAACTTTCTTGGGCATCACTCTATTCCCAGTACCTCGCATGTGGTGGAAATTCAGCACATATTTGTTGAATGATTAAGTGAAATGAACTGTTTGATTTCCCTCCTTTGTTTCTCCTGAATTTCAGTTTATGAAAATCGTTAAGCTACAGGTAAAAAGCAGTTTTCCACGTCTTCTCACACCTCTGCTGTGTTTCTGCTCTGCAGGGGCTGATGCTGCAGAGGATGAAGAAGTGGATGTCACCAGTGTGGACCCTATTGCTGCCTTCTGTAGCAGGTGAGCCACTGCTGGAGGCTAGATCTCGGGCTGCTCCTCCTCCTCAGTCTCTGGTGTTGACTCCTCAGTTCCCCCTGGCTCTCCCTTCACTTCCTTCTGCTTATTAGCTCAAAGAGATTGCTCCTTTGGTATACAGGGAATCTCTTCCTTTCTCCCCTGATAGAAAATCTTAGGAAACTGAAATAATTCATTTAAACATTTATTTTTACTACTGATTTTATTCATCATGTTGTCTAATTTCCCTTTATTCATCTTGGCTTTCTTAAGGTTCTAGATCCAAACCTGTTGCTTATGGTTAATATGGGTGATTCTGCCCTAGAGGAAGGATTCATGGTTTAAGCAACTGTCTCCTCTTTTTTCTAATCCCTTGTCTGATCCTGTTCCAAATAGTGATGAAGAGCTGGAAGATTCAAAGGCTCTATTATATTTACCCATTGCCCCTGAGGTAGAAGACCCAGAAGAAAATCCTTATGGCCCCCCACCAGATGCAGTCCAAACCTCCTTGATGGACGAAGGGGCTAGTTCAGAGAAGAAGAGGCAGGCTTCAGCAGATGGGTCCCAGCCACCTAAGAAGAAACCCAAAACAACCAATATAGAACTTCAAGGAGTACCAAATGATGGTAAGAGCTGCATCTTTGTTGCCCAGTAGACACCACTTTTCACTGTCCAGCACGATCTGGTAATTTTTGTTTGAGTGATTTTACCTTAAAGGAATTTTCCCCCGAGTCTTTTTTATAGACTTTGTATATACTTTACAAACTTACGACTTTGTAATGATTTCATCTGCTTTCACTTCTCTTTTAAAATGGGGAGATTCTGTCCTCAGTACTTTGCCTAAGATGACTCACTTTAAGTCTTCTGACATCTGCTCAGTTTGTTTCGTTATACCTCTCTTCTCCCCTCCCCGAGATTCTTTTGGATGGTAAAGTCCTAGGCAGACTTGGACAGTCTTTTCATTCTTCCTACCCACTCTTACGGTCTGACTCTGAAAGCCTTTATAATCACGTGGTAGAGTCAGGATTCTTACCCCGGTCTGCCTAATTCCAAAGCCCATTCCCTGTCTGTTCTCACATACCAGAGTGCATGTATGCATTCCACTTCTGGCCTGGTGTGTATAGTATCAGTCTGTCTTTCAGCTGCCTTTTCAGTTTAGAGCTGCTCTGGCTTGGTGTGAACCATATAGGCTAGGTATGCCCTTTGGCCAAGCAACTATTTCTCAGTGGTCGTTCTTTTATAGTTTTATAAATAATTAGCAAAGCAAATTTTTCTCCTTGTATTAGTGGATCTGGGCCACAAGAGCAATATTATTTGCTTATGGATTGGTGGCATGCCATGTGCTTAGTTGGGGTGATGGGTCTGGTGGTGTGTGTATTCCTTTCCATGCCTATCTGTCCTTTTACAGAAGTCCATCCACTACTGGGTGTGAAGGGGGATGGCAAATCCAAGAAGAAGCAAGCAGGCCGGCCTAAAGGATCAAAAGGTAAAGAGAAAGATTCTCCATTTAAACCGAAACTCTACAAAGGGGACAGAGGTTTATCTCTGGAAGGATCAGCGAAGGGTAAAGTGCAGGCGGAACTCAGCCAGCCCTTGACAGGTAAGGACACATTGGGAGTGCTGCCTGGCTTGCTTCGTGGCCTTGCTTTGTACAGCCCCTGACTCCATTTAGCTGCAGCATCTTTTTCCTTCCTTTTCTCCTTTTTCCCAGTAGCCAATATTCCCTGAGTTTTAAGTTGCTGCCAAGGGCAGGCTAAACCAGATGTGGCTTAATTCAGTGGCTCGTAATCTTGGGTCTATAAATAGGTTTCAGGGGATTTACATTCCCTTGATATTATATGCAAAATATTATGTGAATATTTTTGTGGGGAAGATGCCCATACCATTCATCAGATTCCTATAGGAATCCATGACCCAGAAAAGCGTAAAAACCCCTGGTTTAATTCACTTTTTCATCTGTATTGGCTCCTAGGTTTATTTTGTTTTGCCTCAGGTGAAAGAGCCAGACGAATAACCAGAAATAATAAGCTTGCTTTATACAGCCCCTGACTGTTCAACTGTAGCATCTTTTCTCTCTCTCTTCAAGTTGTTCAAATCAGGAGGTGGTTTTTTCCTCTCTCACAGTAGTCCAGAAGCAATAGTGAGGTTGTTAGTAGTATCGTCACGTTAAGGAAGAAGATGAGGTGTTTTGTTATTTCAAACAGGAAGAGATTACCAAAAAGACAAACTATAGTATCTGTGTAGCTTTTTAACACCTAAGCCTCTTGAAACTTACTGAGTTTTCTCACTTTTATGTGATTGAGGGATTTTTTACTGAGGGATGGAGAACAATTTCAATTTCCTATCAAATACTTGTGAATCTAGGCTAAATGTTCTCTTGTTTGGAAAATAATAATCAAATTAGAGTCCATTTCTATTCAGACGTTGTTGGGTTTTGGAAACTTTTTGTTTTGTTTTATATATTTGCACTGCTTTAATACAATAATATAGTATTCTCAGTTTTCTGTGGCCAGGTCAGTAGACTCAGAGGCAGGACTGATAAAATATCAGTGGTTGTATTCAGCTTTTTTTCCCTTTGTTTTAAAATTTTAATTTAAATGTTTTAGTCCAAATATGATGATATGCACTAGCATGCAAGAATTTCTTAAGTCAGTTAATCATTGTGAATATGAATGCTCTTCTATAGAGAAGCTGACACAGACTCAGTTACTCATCATTTTGGGTATTCTGCCTCAAACTCGCTAGATTTAGGCCTTAGTTTTTACAGCCCAGCACTATACCACTGAGCACCAGTGTTTTCTCCCAGCAACAGTATTCATGGTGCTCCACTGATAATCAGTTACCACCTCCACATTCAGTTCACCTGAGGCTGTCTATGTATATTTTAAAATAGCCTTAAAAGAGTTATATGGACATTTCCAACAAAGCTTGCAGGTCAGTAATTGATTAATGTAAATCAAAACAATTCTTCCGTAACCCACTTCTTGCACAAGCTGATGCCACTTCAGAAGAAACATAATGTCAAGTTTAAATAGATTTTCCTGGCCCAAGGGGCTGAAATGCTTCAGGGTGATTTAAACTATGGCCAAACATATTGAATTAATTGAAATACTCTAGGACATAGTCTCCCAGCTTCTTCAGAGTCTGTCTGTAATTAATCATTTGCTTTTTAATAGTAAGTATATGATAAACCATTTAAAGCTTTTAAAATCTCAACATCTTCCTCTCTATAATACAGTGATTTCAACTTTTAATTATCGTTGATGTCGTCACTAACAGTAACTATCTTTAGCTAGCATTTCCCAAATTAGGTTTCTGTTGCAGGCACCATGAAGACTTAGATTTACAGCTCAGAGTATAACAGCAGTGGTGTTTCTCAGCTGGGCTTCAAAAATGTCTAAGTAAGACTCAAAATCAAAATGTTGGAAAGTTTACTCAGCCCTAAAGGAATGGGTCTTTTTATTCCCTGAAAGTCTCAAAATACTGAATACAGTTTGCAGTGAAATTTTGAACTATATGTAGAATACATATTTTAGTATTTGTACAAGTTAGCAATTCAAAGCTCCTGCTAGTAAGAGTGGATACCATTATCAAGGGCCTATTGGAAGTTTATTCCCACTCACTCTGCTGACAAGGTTAAATTAGGTACCAGCCTCATTAAAGGCTAGAACTTGTGTCTTGGAATAGCAGGGAGCCTCAAACTAGATTTTTATTTTCTACATTATTTTTATTAGGCACTTGAGTTGGTCAACCTTAAATAGAGGCAACCATTTTAACAGCTTTACCCTTTAAAAGGACTAGAGGAAACTTTGAGCTAACAGGGCCAACATGTTCTGACAACACACAGGCAGAACAACTGTATAGGTCACTGCAAGCGTTTCCCCAGCCTCTTGTGACTGCCTGCATCCACACTGCCCCACGGAATCTACACTGCCGCCGTCCCCTTTTCTCCTCTGTTCTTTGGCCTGGGTGCCTTGACCTTCTCTGAGTGGAAACCTCCAAAATGGAAATGGCCAGATGAAACTCCAGAGTGTGCTGAGGAGCAGGATCATTAAAAACCCTCAAAAGGGGCATTGTGGTTGGCTTGCAGGACTTCCTCAGAAGGATGCATCCAGCTTTATCCACTAGCTGCAGTGTGGCTTGGATCTTTGTGAAGGCTGCAAATCTGGGGAGTGGTGACACTGGGTATCACAGATAACTCCATGAGAAGACTCCCTTTCAGGGCCGGCCCGTGGCTTAGTGGTTAAGTGCACGCGCTCCGCTGCTGGCGGCCCGGATTCGGGTTCCGGGCGCGCACCAACACTCCGCTTCTCTGGCCATGCTGAGGCCGCGTCCCACATACAGCAACTAGAAGGATGTGCAACTACGCCGTACAACTATCTACTGGGGCTTTGGGGAAAAAAAAGCAGGAGGATTGGCTATAGATGTTAGCTCAGAGCTGGTCTTCCTCAACAAAAAAAAAAAAAGAGGAGGATTAGAGTGGATGTTAGCTCAGGGCTGATCTTCCTCACACACACAAAAAAGAGTATGTTACTAGAATAAATTTAAAATAAAAAAAAAAAGAAGACGACTCCCTTTCAAGATAGCCTGTCATAGCTTTTGTGTGGGATTCTTTGGGTGAGGGTGGGGCTTTATCCAATACCGTGTTCAGCTTGGAGGGCCCAGAGCAGGCAAAGGCTGGCTGGCACGCACTGTTGATTTTCAGTAAAAAGCAGCATGCAGTCATTGTAGATTTTTCACCAGGTATTAAGAAATGAAATCTGATCCAGAATGCCTGAGGCTGAACCATCTTTAAAAATCAATTCAGTCTGAGGGTTGTATTTGTAGATTCAAGGCTTTGTGGACCTCCCCTCCCCCCAAATGCCCTACTTTTGCATTAAAGCCAAATTATTTGAGGGCAGGATTATAAGTGTAGGCTGTGTAACTGCTCAAGTTAGATGGATGACTACTGTTAATATCTACAGTTGACCAGTTACTGAAGAAACTGTTCAGTAAGCCCTGATTAGCTCTGACAAAGGTGCTGTTGCATGTTGCAACAGGAGATTATGCATTTCAAGGGAAGGTTGAAAGACACATAGACCACTATAGAAATAATCTGGCCACCTGGAATGAGGGGCTACAGAGAATTCTTCCCTGTCCAACAGTTCATCAGTATGGGATAGCACCAGTGGACCCACAGAAGATACACCTGCTGTGATGAGTGAGGACCCATCAGTGAGGCTTGTTGAGGGAAACCCTGAGCTGGGGAGTTTTCAGAAAGGCCTGGTCACAGAGTCAGCACCATCTACCAGATCCGCCTCAATTACCTTATTAAAGATACTCCCTGGAGGACCAGTCCTCAGAACAGAAATTTGAGATGTGAGCAGAACCACCAGTGTCCTGGTTGCCCTGTGGCTGCTTCAAGGATTGCCCAAGAACTAGGGCTCCTTGGCAGTAAACATCATTAGTAGCAAGTGTGACGGGATTTTGGTCTGTCACATCCATGGTCTAAAGTGTAAAGGCCTCGTGGGAGCGGGAGCATGAAGGGTTTGGTGTGGACCTGGGTCTGTTGGGGTCGCAGAGGCCGAGGCGAACAGAGGCGCCTGTGCTAGGGGTGGACAGGCACTGTGCAGATTCTCTTGCATGAGGCTGCACCACTGCCCTCCTGGTGCCGGCCCACCCCCCAGGTCTCTGAACCACCTCCTCTTCACTGACTGAATTGGTGCTTGTTTTAAATGCTTGGTAGTGAGTGAGGGTTTTTTTTCCCCTCTTCCTCCCTTTTTAATAAATGATCAGTCTCTCAAAAGACTGATTTATGAGTTCCTGCTAAAATCAGATGGCTAGTTGTATATTCTGTCTCATTTTCGATGATCTTATTAGCTAAGGTAATGTTTGAAATCAATAATCCAGTGTTTTCTTAGGCTTGGCTGCTATTGGGAGGTACCAATAACAGCTGCTCATCATGAGCTGAATTTTTCTTAGTTTCATATTACTGGAGAGTTCCTTTATGTTGCAGCCAAATAATGTGTCTCCTTGGGGCAGAGTTTTCAGTAGCCGGGGAGGTCTTGTGTTGCTGTGACTGTGTCTCTCACCTTGCTCGTGGTGTTGCTTGCTCTGGTTTGGTTTGTTGCCTGATGCCTCAACAGCCCTTTTTTTTTGGTCTGTTCACGTGAAGGAGGACGATATCGAAACGTGAACTGACCTTAGATAATCAGTACAGTGTAGCTCGTTAGTCATCTTAGTGCTCATTATTAATGCTGTGGATGTGTGATCAGACCACTTTTTCCTGTCATGATTTAGGTTTAAAATGTCAGTGTTGTCTTCCTTTTTAAACTCTTGAAACTAGATTGGTCAGATGGCCAGCCCGTGGCCCAGTGGTTCAAGTTCCACGTGCTCCGCTTCGGTGGCCCAGGTTTGCAGGTTCGGATCTACTCCACTCATCGGCCGTGCTGTGGAGGCGTCCCACATACAAAGTGGAGGAAGAATGGCACAGATGTTAGCTCAGGGCCAATCTTCCTCAAGCAAAAAGAGGAAGCTTGCCAATGGGTATTAACTCAGGGTGAATCTTCCTCACCAAAACCAAACCAAACAAAACAAAACAAAAACTACATTGGTCGGGGTGCCTATGGGAACCAGCAGTGACACTAACCTTCGGGTGGCAAAGGCATGGTATTGAGTCCTGTGCAGTAGATTCTTCTATCTCAGGATTCTTTTTTTAATCAACTCAGGAGGTTAATTATTATGATTTATGGTGAGAGAGATCTGAAAAACAGGTGCTAAATCAACTTTCTATCTTACTGATCTATATAAAGTTTAAATTTAATTTTTAACAATGTAGCCTCCAAGGAGAGTTTGTATCCAAGGAGAGTTTGTATCTTCTAATTTCAGTCTGTTCTCAGGCAACTGGGAATATTTTTTTATTACCAGTTTTCATCTGTGCTTGAACTTAAAAATGAGGTTAAAAGCAGAGTTTATAAATGGGCACTTTTCTTTCATAACTTGGGGAATTATTTTTTAACCATTTACCTTCAAGTGGCATGTTCTTCCCCGTTCCAGATGAATCTGGGAGGATTTTCTTCACCTTGTTCTCTTTTACACTTCCTAGTTAATATTTCACAGCAGCCCATTTAAGGATGTCCCTCAGAGGTTGAACAGCTTCTATGGAATAATCAGGGAAGTGTTCATTTGATTTTACTGTTTAGGATTTTATTTATTGATCAGTTGTTGGCATGTAGAAATGCCGACAATGGTTTTCATTAACATTTCACCATATTTGGGATTCTAAGGTGATGAGGTTGTCACTTACGGAACAGGGCTGCTTGGAAAAGGGTTAATCATAGGGACTACTTAGTCTAATAGATGAGAGATGTAGTACCCTAGAATTTCCTTTCCTTACTGCACTTGTTGGATTGTAAAGCATTATTTGTTAACACCTTGGAGAATGGTTAGCAGCTTAGAAGATGTGTAGAACTCTAGTCATTTTGCCTTTTTTCCCCTTTAGAGCAGTACTGAGAAAAGTATTTGGGTGGGGGTTTGGGATTTGGGTTTTTGTTGCTTCAATAAAGAGTAATTGGGAGTTGGAGTTGGTTCTAACTTAAGGGGGGACGTTCTTAGCCCACGTATGCGTGTAATGCGTAATCGTGCACTCAGCAATATTTCGTTCTTGTGAGTAACTGGTCTCACTTGATGCTAAAAGAAGTCTTTTTGTGTCTAATCTCTTTAGCAGGGGGAGCAATCTCAGAACTGTTATGAAGACCCTTGAAGTTCTTCGTTTTTCCCTACTTTGCCATCATGTGGCCTCTGGACACCGTGGTCAGTCATTTGAGATTGACTTTAATTTAAAACAAAGGCCTCTGCTGCCCACCCAGGAGGTGGAAGGAGTGAATTTTATGTTTGAATGAAGAAGTGAATTATGGAAGAAGAGTATACGTCCCTTCCCTTTCAAGCATAAGTCCAAATAGGCTCTCAGGAACGAGGATTTGTGAAGACGTCAGATGGGAGTTTTGACTCATTTGAACTTTAATACTTAAGTTGCTGGAGAAAAGATACCTGTTTTGCTCATCTAATTTTGTTGTACCCAGCATCGTTTCCTGTCTCCTATTTGCCTTCCATCCTCAGTGCATGTCCTTGAGTGACTTGTCCTATCTGAAATTCTGCTACCGGTATCCAGAAAAACTTCTATTGCCTAGTCTTTCTCCCTTTTTTAAAAACTTACCCTCTCACCAGATACCTCCTGTATTTCCATTTGGTGTACAAAGGATGGGCAGAAAAGAAAGTGCTTGAAAGATTTCAAGTTTTCAGAAAGGGAAGAAAGATAAGAAAGTTCCCCTTTTCTTCACGGGCCGGGTTTGGCTTGGGAGTGGGGCCATGAGATGTCAGGGTGTCACTTTGTTTCCTTTCGGTGCATGTTCCCCTCCGGCGTTGGTTCATTCTCATTGATCATGGTTTTTGAAGATAGCTAGTTCCATCTGTCTCCAGCGAAGAATCATCAGTTGTTGATCTTGCTTTCCCTGTGCTGGCTTCCAGAGATGGAAACAGACGAGGCGTCTCCTGACAAGCTACTCTTGCACTGGGTTGGGAGTGTAAGCCAGGACTAGAGGAAGACCGTCCAGGAGCAGGGCAGCAACAGCACAGTGCAAATCAAAGATCGAGCAAAGTTGTTTTATCACTGCTGTGGCTCTCTGCCCTTCCATCAGTCATTGCATTCTTCCCTTGTTTCCATGCTCCTTTTCCTTCTACGGTATTTTCAGTCACTTCCTTTCTGTGAAAGGTTGCTTAGCTTTTTAAAAAATTTTTAATTTTTACTTTTGCTGTTCTTTATATAAAAAGTAGCAGATTAGATGGATGTGTACATTAGGTGTTTGAAATTGTCTGAAAATCCAGAGTCAAGAGCCAGGTGTGGCAAGGGCTCACTCAGGTCTCTGAGCAGAGCTTTCAGCTGACCAGAAGTGCTTCATCGGGATCGTCACGTTCACAGTATTTTCCAAGGAGAGTTCAAACACTGTGCTTATTGTGAAATCTCTTATCAGCTGTGGATGCTCCTATAGGTAGCCAGACAGATTGATTACCTTTCGGATTTTAGGATAGAAATCAAAGTAGAACACATCAGTAAGAGCCTGTTTCTCCCATCCCATCTTCTAGAATCAGAATACTCAGTAACTGAAGTAAGAGCTCTCCCTGAGTCTGTTGCAAAATGTCTATATTTTTAGATGCCACTACTTTTTTCTAAAATGCTTGTTTTGTGAGTTTCATTTCATATTTCACTTCAGACCAGTGGTTGAAATTGGTAGGTTTCTCCTGAGACCTGTTTCTATTTTGCAGACATTCTTTCCATTCCTTGTCTCTCTGGACCGTCCACTGCATTAGTGCGCAGACTGTGTGATACAGCAGGTTTCTGCCTTGTCCCCGTGTGCGTGGTAGCTCGTGTCCTCTACCTGTGCATGTGGATGTTTGTGCTGTGTCCACCTCCACAACTGGCCACAGGGAAGATCAACTTCAGCCCTGTCAGATTGTCCCTGGCAGCAGCTACTAATAATTATTCATGCTTTGGAATTTTTTTCAGTTCCTAAAACCTTTTGTCCATTTCAGTTTCATTTTCTCAATTTGTACAATATATGCATATTCTCTTCTTCCCTTTTATCACCCGCCCCGTTTTGTTTTTTAATGTTCTGTAGTTTTGTACAAGATGAGACTTAGCCTTGGGTACTTCTTGCTGAAGCTTTAATGTGTTGTAAATAAAATTGGATGTTTATTAAAGAACAGGGGTAGGTGCTTGTTTGTAGACACTGGTCACATCTCAAACTCACCAGCCACTTTGCCATGTACGATGGAGAAATGCACTTACTCTGTTGATGTGAGATCTTCTTTCTGTTTGGAAATACAGAGCTGGGAAGGGTAGTGGGGGTCAGGTAGTCCAGATTTCTGCCTCTAGACAAGATTATAAATAAATGATTTAAACAAAAAGTTGGTGTTAAAAAGATCATCTAGGAACGATCTCTCTTCAAATTCTTTAACTCAGTATAAGTGTGTGTACCTACTCTGTAGAGGCCACAGTGCCTCGAGGCCTTCTGGAGGTTACAAAAACGCATGCAAAGAGGTTCCTGCCTTGCAACGATCTTTCTTGAAGTTTAAGTGCAGTTAAATTCGTCTGTATTAGCCTTCTCCCCGCTGCCTTGATTAAATAGCTTTGAAATCCATTGAATACTCATCGTCTCCTAAAGAATAAGATGTTTCATAAAGTTTCTGTCTTTGATTTTAATCATCACCAAATCTGAGTTGGTATTTACTAATCTTTTTTGTCACATGACTGAGAATCTGTCTTTGACATCATAGCTGTTTCCTAGCAACCTTGGCCCCAGTGAATGGTGAGCTCCTCTGTTCTAGAGGGTGAAGGGAGTAGGCTGAGAAGCAGGGAGAATGAGGTGTCCTCTCCCCCAGAGTAGACCCTTGGTGCCCTTGGGGAGGAGGAGTGCCTGGCAAGGGGAGAGGCGCTGCGTTGGATATTGCCTGTCTTGCTGATCAACATTCAGATTCTAAAAGGGCTCTGGGCCCTTATCTTCATAAATTTTCATTTCTGTTTAAAATTCCTTATACATGAACAGGGTTTCACACTTTATAAAGTGTTTTCATGTACAGTTTTATCACGTGATGCTCCAAGTGACCTTCCTGCAATAGGCAAGGAGGTCTTAATTTACAAAGGAGGAAGTAGAAATAGAAATGCAGGAAGGATAAGTCACTTGCCTCCGAGTCCAGAGTTCTTGATCCTTTTTATAGAAGGTTTAGGAGCATTTAAAGTTAATAATAACTTAATTCAAGTTAATCCTCTCCTTTTTTTAGACTTGGTATTTGATTTCTTATTTGGTCAGATTTAACTGCAATTTTGAAACCTTTTAATTTAGATTCCACAGTTTGGAGGGGAGGGGAAAGGGTGAGGAAGAGTATGGCTTCGCTATGCATTTGAGGTAATTTGGAGATTCGCTTCAGCTTCTGACGTCTTTTCATCTTTGTCTTCCCAAGAGGTGGATTTAAATATTCATTAAAAGGATGTAAAAAGAATGGACTGGTAACGTGGTCGTTGACAAGCAGAGATAATAAAGGAGCAACATTGTGACTTGTTTTCCTGCCCTGTGGCCTCGCCTGTTGATAAGGACTGGACTTTTGTAAGTGGCACTGTTTTGTTGACAGCGCATGCATCATATCTTTTGACTTTGAAGGATATCTCATGTTGAAGGAATCAGGTTATGATATCGTAAAGGATTCAACTGGAATAGCTTGGGGTGCTGGCTGTGGGTGCTGAGATTCCGACTGAGACATGAAGACTTTGGCCGCTGGTTTCATCCTTGGGAGCCTGGTGTTGGCCTTCTATCTGCCTTTAGTTGTGACTTTACCTAAAACACTGGCCATCCCCGAGAAACTGCAGGAAGCTGTGGGGAAAGTTGTCGTCAATGCCACCACCTGTACTGTCACCTGTGGCCTAGGCTATAAGGAGGAAACCGTCTGTGAGGTGGGCCCTGATGGAGTGAGAAGGAAGTGTAGATCTCAGCGCTTGGAATGTCTGACCAATTGGATCTGTGGCATGCTCCACTTCACCCTTCTCATAGGGAAGGAATTTGAGCTGAGCTGTCTGAGTTCAGACATCCTGGAGGTTGGGCAGGAAGCTTTCCGGTTCACCTGGAGACTTGCTCGGGGTATAATCTCAACTGATGATGAAGTCTTCAAACCCTTCCGAGCCAGTTCTCACTTTGTGAAGTTTGAATCTGCTCAGGAGTATGACTCTGGGACCTACCGGTGTGATGTGCAGCTGTTAAAAAACTTGAGACTTGTCAAGAGGCTCTATTTTGGGCTGAGGGTCCTTCCTCCTAACTTGGTGAACCTGAATTTCCATCAGTCCCTTACGGAGGATCAGAAGTTAGTAGATGAGGGCCTGGAAGTGAATCTGGACGACTATTCCAGGCCTCATCACCCACCTTGGAAAAAGAAGGTGGCTGTAGCCTTGGGAATAGGAATTGCCAGTGGTGTGGCTGGCGGTGTGTTGGTGAGCATTGTTCTGTGCAGCGGGCTGAGGGGGAGTTATAGCGGTGCTAGCCTTAAGACCTTAAAAGCCTTACTTCTGAAGGGCCAGCTGCCCAGGAAGCTGGATGGGCTGTTCAGGAAGCCAAGCTAGCTTTTCAGGGGAGTATTCTGGCTACCTGATGTGGATTGGCTAAGAGGGAGGGCATCCACTGCCAAAAGACTGCATGGGGGATGTGGAGAGGGGCAACATCATGGCTGCTGTGGACAAGGATAAACTTAGTGTCCCAGATGGATCTCTTCCTGATCTTCCTGCCCACTAGGTACCCAGGAAACCCGACAGCAGGCATCTCCCCTGATCCTGGGAAGAGTTCTGTCGTCCAAGCTGCATTCATTTTCTGCCCTTTACAACTTGTGTGCCCCCCACCTCTGTCTCCCTTTGGAGCAATATAATCCCGTAGAAGGATGTATTAATAGCATTTCCAGTGAAAACGTTTTTTTTCTCTTCAATAAAAGTTTTTCATAGTAACTGTATGGGGATCTAACCTTTTCTGCTTTTTTAGTTAAAAATTTCTTACATTCATTTCAATTGTCATATAATCAGTCTGGCTTTCAGTTTCCTCAAATTTCTTAGAATAGACAGTGAATGGATTGTTGTGTAAGGGGGCATATGCCCATGTGTGGCAAAGCTGAGGTGTTAGTAATGACTTCTGCCTCGGGTATGTAATAGACAGTCACTGAGTGTTAATAAATTGTCTGCCCTCCCTGTACTTCCTAGGTGAAGCCTCTGTGTTCAGTGTTAAATTGATTCCTGGCAAAACACTGGATTCCTAGGTTCTCCTGAACAGTTCCTTGGCTTGCTCCTTGCTCCTGTCCTGTTAGCTGTTTCAGCCCTGAAGCTTGTGTTGCTGGAAGAGTCAAGTGTATTGGTTTCTCATAGCATCCAAGGCCCCCTAAGCCATGACTAGTACCTTCCTTCCTCTGTAGGGAATCCAATCTTAAGACCCTCAGAAGCCATTCAGATTGTGTCTGAGGTAATTGGCTTGTGGAACCATCAGGAACAAGGCTCGTGGCCACCAGCTGAGCTAGTCCGACTGAGAATTCCAGCGTTCCTTCCCTCACTTTTCTCTAGCTGCAGAGGAGGTAGCGGAAACAAGACTTGGACCAGTGGTTCTCCCTTCTAGCTGTGTGTCTCAGTCACCTGGGTGAGCTTTTGAAAAATAACTCCTGAGCCCCAACCCTGAGGATGCTAATTTAGTTTGTATTATGGCCAATGGATCTTTATTATTTCCTCTACTTTTAATTAAAAAAAATTTTCAAACCCTTAGAAAAGTTGAAAGATTTGATAATGCCCATAGATCTTTTACCCTTTTACACCCGTAGATTCTTTGCGAATGTTTTACTACAATTATCTTTAAATATATATTGATTTTACTGAACCACCTGAAAGCTAGTCACAGACATTGTGACCTTTACTCTTAAATCATGTGTACATCTCCTAGTAAGGACATTCTGCTGTATCACCACAGCATCTTGATCACGCCTAAGAAAATTAACTCCCTAATCTTACAAACAGTTATTTCATTTTCCCCAATTACTAAAATCTTAGAGCTTTTTAGTTTTTGATCCAGGATCAAATGAAAGTTCACGTATTACATTTGGTTCTCTCTCTCAAGTCTTATTTTACAGGGGACCTGTGCATTTTTTGTTGTTTTTTCCACAACATTGATTGTATTGAAGAGTCTGGGTAGGCCAGTTGTCTTGGATAGTGTCTCGCAGGCTGGCTTTGTCGTTATTTTCTGATGGTGAGGTTCCTGAGGAATGACTCAGACGTTCTGACAAGAGCCCTCTGTAAGTGACGACATGCATGTGTCGCATCACCTCGGGTGACCCGCGATTGATGCTGAGCCGGTCATTTGTTTGAGGTGGTGACAGCCAGATCTCTCCAAAGGTGTATATATCTTTTCTTTGTGATTAATAATCTTTGGGGCCGTACTTTGTGATTATGTGGTTTTCTGAAAACTGTTCACAAGTGTCTTCGGCATCCATTCGTGATCCTTGCCTTATTACACAATGGGGATTGCAAAATGGTGATTCTTTAAATTCATCACTTTTATATTTATTAGCCTGCATTTTTCTGTAAAGACGAGCTACTCTTTATTCTTTATTTTTGAGGTCTCAGTTGATTCTCTTTTATTCAGAGAATTGTATGTAATCCATTACCGTTGTCATATTTTTGATGTTCAAACTGTCCCCAATTTTGGCAGTAGGTGACCCTTCCAGTCAGCTTTTTTGTTCTTTTGATGTCGTCCCATTTGACTTTGAGCCTGTCCTTGCTTTCTAGTACAAGGTGTCTCAGATCCACATTTGGACTTTCCCTTCTTCAAACCTGAATCTGCTGTTTCTCCAAGGGACTCTGGTCCCTTTTGGTGTGGGGTGTGGTATTTTGAAACCAAGATCTGGGTGCTAAATGTGCTCTTTGCCACTGCAGAGTCATTGCTTCTAGGCCCTTTCAGTGTCCTAGATATAGATAAATCATGAGTTCAAAGCATCTTTGTTTTTCAGAAGCTTTACAGGTAATTCTGATACATAGTGGAGGTTGAGAACCATTGGCTTAAGCCCATGCATAGGGCGTCTTTACTATTGCTCATATTTTGAAAAGATCTTAAATTTTCTACATACTCTTTCCCCCATTCTCTCTGCCTCAGAGGGGAGGAATCTCAGAAGACCTGGGTTCTGGTCCTGTTTCTGTTATCGACTGTGTAATGGCACAAGCTAACTGACCCTTTTTGGTCCTCATCTTTGAAACACATGATTGTGAGGATCAAGTGAGATACTCTTAAGTAAAGCTGCTTTGTAAACTATGAAGGACTGGGCATGAGAGAGGGAGTGTTATTATTGAAGCATATTAGTTCCGTGCCAGACAGTTTGCTGAAGCAGTCAGGAGAGAGCTTTCTATACTTTAAAAGAACGCCATAAAACATTAATATCTTTGCATGTAATGAACTCAATACTACATTGCTGAAGAGGGAGGAGGACTGAGGGGTACGGTTTCCCATTTTACAGATGGAGAGACTGAGACCCAAGAAGAGGTAAGTAACTTCTCCAGCATTCTATTGCAAGCCAGTCATCAAGCATGGGGTGGATTATTGTACAGCTCTAGGTGTGGAGCCCTCTGTGCATTGGGTTCTGGATTTTGACTCTGAGGATGTGAAGGGACTGAACAGGGAAGAGAACAAAGCCCCTCAGATGTCTTAGTCAAGACCAAAACCCAGTTCAGTTCATTGACTTCTATGCATGGGATCTGCCCGTGGAGGGTCAAGGAGATGCTGACTGGACTAAAATTTGGGTTCTAGAGTGGCCAGTGCTCCCAGCAGCCCCTTTGGGAGCAAAGTGGAAGGGATGAGCCTGTGGTGGTATCATCCTGCTGCCCGTGCTGGCTCTTGGCGGCTTGCTGTCAGCCTGGGCTTCTCCTGCTGAACAGGCCCTGGGCACAGAGCTAAGCACTGAGTAGTGTGCCTCTGCTTGCCTTCGTCCCCCTCTTCCCTGACGAAGGCTGTGGGCGCAGTGAGCGTGGAGCGCTACCTGCTTTGCACTGGAAGAACTGAACACTTGCAAGGCCACGTAAGTGTGTTGCTGCACACGTCCCAGATGTAATGGAAGTCTGATAAGTGTTTGTTGAATGCGTGAGAGAATGTTGCAACTGGAAGATGTGATGAGAAAAATTCTTTTGGTTGCTGTGAGCAGAGACTAGAGGCACCTTTTCCTGGGGGCAGCGGGGGGCAAGTGGGGGGTGGAGGTGATGTCACTATGTCTCCGCAGGGAGAGGACTTCCATTGGGTACCATTGAGTCAGTGCCTCAAATGTCTTAAACTCAGGGAACTTGGAAGCAGTGCATCACACGAGCACTGTTGACTGCAGTGTCAGGTAGAGCCAGCTCAGTCCAGCAGAATGCCTGCTTGTGCTCTGCTTAGGCCTGCCTGTAAGTCTCTTGGCTTAATTTTCCCCTCCCAGGACTGAATGGAGCAATGTGGACTGTATGTTGTGACTTCCTCAGAGCTGGCTGTGGAGGGTGAAGATGAACTGGATCAAGGCCTGGGGTTAGAGAGCCGGACAGGAGGTCTGGTTTAGCCTGAGGATCAAACACCCACAGTGCGGCCAGCTGCCTCAGCAGGTTGAGAAACCATCTTTATTTAAGAACTGCCTGCTACCAAGTCAATAAATAACGACCGTTACAAGAAGTGTAAGAGAGACAAACAATAGTCCAGTGGGAGTGGTTCCATTTTAACAAAAACAGTCAAGTCAGTAGTCCGACAAAGCCCCAGGCTTTGCCCAGCTGTGAGCTTTTCTAAGCTCTGCAGGCCCTGGATGGGTGGGTAAGTTGGAGTCTGGGGGCCAAGGCCGCTGCACCCTAAGGGTGCTAGGCTTCCAGGGGCTCTGGGTACCCCTCTCTGACCCATTATTTTCTTCTCCAGTTTCTCTTTATTGTTCTGCCTTCCCAAAGCCTGTGACCATATGTACAGCTACCAGGTACCTCTTTCCATGGAACTCTTTGAAGTCCCTTAAAAATGCCTGTCTAATCCCTCACACCACTCCAGGAGCCTCTCTGGCAACCTTGTTCATCCCCAGGACGAAGCCCAGGTGAGGTCTGACCCAGGGAAACAGGGCATCACACCTGGGCTCAAACCCAGGTTTGAAGATACTGCTCTCCCTCTGACACAGAAGAGCCAGTGGGCAGTCACATTCTGAGACCTGGAAGAGACAAGTCCTCTAGAGGGGGAAGAGGGAGAGAGTCAGACATCCTTAGCCAGCTTGGCTCTTGTCCAGAGTGTGGACTAGGTGGCTCCTGGGACTGCCAAGAGGCAGTGTGTGCGGGGAACAGAATGCCCACGGTGACTGCATCCCTCCCCTGTGCCGCAGGGCCACAGCAGACAGGCGCCCCTAGATGCCTCCTTTGCTCAGCACCTTTGATTCTAAGGATCACAGTCCTGGAAGGACCCTTACAGCATCTCCCCACCCCTCCAGTCTTCACCTAACCTAGACCCCAGAGCAACAGCTGTCAAAATTCCTCAAAGGTCCCTAAAAACGGAAGAAGCCCCTCACTTATTCCAGGGTCTCATTGCAGAAGTTCTTTTGATGTCTGACCTCAGTCTCTTTATTTTATCAAAAGAAAAAGACCCCCCCACCCCATGGCCCTCCTGTTCCCTGGCACCATCTGGATCATTTGATGCCCTGGATGAAAGTAGATAACCTGACCTTGCTGAGCCCCGAGGCTTCATCTGGAGAGCTGAGGGCCCCACAGTGGTGTCTGTCAGCTGTCTCTGTCCTTAGTCCTCAAGGCACTTATTGCCTACTAGGCTGTGGGGTAAAGTACTTGTTGGTGGCTGTCCCCCTTGCCTCTGGGGCTTAGTGTGTGGGGGAGGAGAGATCCAGAATCAAGTCATGACCGCAATAGGGGCCAGCCCCACTCTCAACTCCCTCAGCCCAACTGAGCAGAGAAGATGAAAACTCGAGGCCCCTTGGACAGGAAGGGCCTCTGAGAAACCGTCTGACTCGTCTGCTCTCATGCGGCTCCTGCACAGGCTGCCCCAACAAGAGGCTATTCGATTTTATAAGCTTGTGTGTCCTCAGGTCACCTACTCGCTTAGTAAACCTAGTCAGGACTCTACCTGAAGTCTCAGGCTGCAGGAACATCCTTTCTAGTGTAGTTCTCCGTCTCCAAAGCAAGTTGTACCTGCACAGTGGTTAGGTTTTCCTGGGGCTGAGTTTTCCTAGTTAAAAACCCTTCTGGGGCTTCCCAGCAGGTCTGCCTTCCTCCCCTTTGCTAATGGGCCTCATTAGAACTAAGACACTTAGTTGGGAATATCTTTTGCCTCAAGCAAGCTTAGAGACTGCAGCCTCCAGCTGCACTGGTCAGGGGTCCTGTGCCAGCCCAGCTCATCCCTCGGCCGGCATCTAGAGACCTGTCCCCCTGCTGCCCTGCCACAGCCCAAGGCAGCGGGGAAAGAATCAGGTCAACTTTGGAAGGAGGTTTCTTACTTTCAGCATTCCCTTGCTGATAGAACTGGGCAAGGCCAAATCACAGCCCTGGGGGACCAGGATGGATGTTAGGGCAAGTTTTGGGGTCGCTGTAATGGGAGCATAGCTGAGCTGAGCCTCCAGCACCTTGTGTGGGGGATGGATGGGAGCAGGTGAGGAGGATTTGATCACATGCCTCCAGGGAAGCAGTCCTGGGTGGGGGCAGGTGGTGGGGGCAGCGGTGGCGGGGAGAAGGGGTGTGAGCTTACATTTTTAAAAAATTGTAGTGGGTAAACATCAACATAAACCTGCCCAGGAAAATAGAGCAGGACTTAAAAGTTTAAAAAAGCATAACAAAATAGAGCTCTAACTGTAAACTGTAGAAACCAGGCTCAGGGGGCCTGGATGCCTGTCCTGCTGCTCCTGGGGGTGAAGGGCCACCTGTCAGGGCACAGGCTTTGGGGTTTCCTGCTTGTGTCGCCACTGCTGCCTGGATTTGGGGAATCCCTGTCCTTCCTTGGCCTCTTCTTGGAGCAAGGGTGAGGGGAACAGGGGGCTTCAAGCCAGCCCTGCATATTGAAGCAACAGCAAGCGTTGGGCTCAGAAGGCAAAGAAGGACTGGGTGTCTCCTGGAGTCTGCCCAGGCCTTGGGCTGGGACCCAGGCATGCCGATCACCCCATGATCCCCACCTGAACATCTTGAAGCAGAGTTTTCATAGCCCACTGCCCTTCCTAACCATCTCCTTATCCAGGCCGTAGCCATTCAGCACTGCCCCTTCCTCTGGATAGACAAAGAGCCAGGGACAGGAAGATAGGAGACTGAGTTCTTATCCTAGCCCTGTCACTGACAGGCTGTGCGACCTTGGGAAGTCCCTAACCCTTTGGACCTCAGTCTCCTCCTCTAGAAAGTGAGGGGCTTGGACAAGTTGAGCTCTAAAGCCTCTTCCAGCTCTGAGGTTCTGTGACTGGTAACATACGCAGAGCGCAAGATAGGACGTCCCATTTATTAACCTTGGTTTCTTCTGGGAGTGCACAAGAGCAGTCCGAGGCAGCCTGGGGACAGGTCTCACCAGGTAGTGCAAGGTATTCCTGGGAGCAGGCAGGGCCACATTGATCCTCTGCCCTTCTCAGAAGACTCTTGACTCCAAGACTCAGGGTTAGTGCCACGTTGCTCTCTGAGACTTGAGTGAGTCAGTGCTGGGAGAGTGGAGTCCTGGGGCCTGAAGGCCAAGCTGGAGGAAGAGGGTGGGAGCGCGACCCCCATCTCCTGTCTCCTGCCCAAACCCTGGAGGGTCTGTGCAGGGTGGGTCTTGGTGGGGTGGGGGACCTCCCCAAGACAAGCCCTTTAGTCACCCAGCCTCCTGTAGTGGCGTCTGTTACTGTGGTGTAACAAGGTTGGGTTGGCAGTGTTGGCTAAGAAGGCAATATCACCTGGATTGTGACTGTGCCTCGGGCCAAGTCTGGTGGCCCTTTCCACCAGGCGTCCACGCTTTTTAGCTCCCACCTCCAGCAGTTTGGAGTGTCACCCCCAAAGCTGATGAGGCTCAGGCTCCTGGCCTCAGATATCAGGGCGCTGGTTCTCAGCCTCCTGGGCAGGTGCAGGGCCTCCAGGGAGTCATCGAGGGTGTCAGGGTTCAGCTGTGCTGTCCCTCAAGAGGAGGAAGTAGGAGAGTCCTTGGTCCCAGGGTTCGGCCCTCTCCTTAGATGGAGAATGTTGATGTTTATGGCGTCTACTGCAGCCCATTCGTGTCCAGTGTTCCTGCCGGGCCTAGGACTCTGCTCTCAGGGGTAGAGTCCATCTGCGGTCCCAGAGCGCCATCTGCGGATGTGCAGATCCATGTTGAAAACCCCCTTCTTCCTAGAGGCCTGTTCCTTCCATCTGGGCACCCTAGAGGGCCCATAGGGTTCAGTATCATCATGGAAGTTACTGCTTGGTGCCTCCTGATTTAAAGAAAAAAAATCCTCTCATGGGTTCTATCCTGTGGCCGAATGTGAAATATCCTACCTCCTACGAAAAGGGCACTATTTAAAGTGGGTATTTAAAACCAGCCATTCTCAGGCACAGAATGGGCCACCTCGGCATCAGGAAGGGACCGGGGCCAGCTGGCTGTGTCCATCGGAGGTGGGTGTCCAGCTGTGGTGGAGAGGGAGGGGCGCCGAGATCAGAGCTCCAGGTAGCCTATGAGGATCAGCATCGCCACAGAGTGGGAGAGGATGGTGCCGGCATGTGGGGCTGGGCAACCTGCCGAGTTCTCCACCATCATGCTTGTGCCTGGAACCAGCAGGCAGAAATGGGGGCTGAGTCAGCTGAGCCTGGGACCCGCCCGGCCCCGCCCCTCCCTCAGGACAGGATCCAGACCCTTCCTAGGGAGACTCACAGAGGGCAGTTTTAGGACTGTAGGACTGGGAGGTCTTCTCAGCCCTGCTCTGACCTTCGATTTTGCTGGTCCTCAGCCTCCCCTCGACCCTGTACCCCCTGAAAAGAGCATACCCACCTCCCGGCCCTCAGGGATGTTTGGGGAGTCGGGGAGGAGCGGGGCCAAGGGCAGTCCAAGGTCCCTGCCTGCCTTCCCCATTCCCCCTGGGGTCTGGCTGGTTTGGGGTTGTCTTGGGTGGAAATGATTCCTTCATCGTGCATGTGGGTGGCCCCTGACACTCCTGGGGGACGAGGTGAAGGAAGGCAGCACCTCCATTCCTCACAATGTGGACTTCTGCTGGGATCCCATCCCCTCCAGGCCCTGTGGTCCGAATCTGCACCAGGGCATGGCCGATGTCTTCAGGAACTGCAATTTCTATCCAGTTCTTGCTGGTGAGGTGAAGGGTGGGAGTTGGGTGTAAGTCATTCTGGTACAGCATCTGTGGGAAAGAAGTTAGCAAGATGGAGTTCACTGACCCCAGGGCCGATCCTTCTCTCTTCCCCAGCTCTAGGCCGTGGGAGGAACCCCTACAGTTCCGGGCCCTCGAGGTCCTGCCTCCTCACCCCTCGTTTTCCATTGCCCGGGCTCTTAACAAGTTCCTCATTGGTGGTAGGAAAGCTTGCAAGCAGCTGAACTGTTTCTGCAGACTCATTAGGCTCACAGGACCCCCAGACTTCACCCAGTCCATCACTGCCCCATGAACCCTGCCTTTTTGCAGTGACACCATCTGCCCATTTTATAGTCGCTTCTCCAAGCTACCTGGAGAGCCATTCATGTATTTCGTGCCTCTCACCATCACAGACTCTGTGCTTGTGTCTAACTCAGATCCCTCTTGCTATAAAGGCAGCTCCCTTGTGTTCACTGGAGATGCTGGCCTGCTCCTCACTGCTTACTGCCTGATTGATCCCTTGCTTACCTTATAGCCAGTGACTGCAGACTCATTTCGGAAGGGGACCACAGGGTCCCACTTAATACTAAGATTGGAACTTGAGAAAGTCCAGGAGATGTTGCCAGGAGGTCTCCGTGGAGCTGCCGGAGGAGGGAGAAAGTTGGGGAGACTTCCAAATGCTTCCTCACCACCCACCCCTTGCCTTTAGCCAGCCTTTGTCTACAGGTCTGCCCACGGCATTACACCCAGAGCATCCTGTCACAGCTGCCTAAGAAACACACCCCATGAAATCCGAAGGTTGGAGAAGAGAGAGGCACTTCAAGAGGCCATGAATTCCACTCCCTTATTTTCATTAGGCTCGCTGCCTTGTTTTGTCCAGTCCAGGGCTTATGGGCCAGAGCATTTGTCTTACCGCTGGGGAAAGAGTGAACCCAGAGGCACTCCCCTCCTCCCCGAACACCTCCCCCAACCCCAGGCGGACAGACTCACGGGGCTTCATGGTGGTGGCATTGGCGGGAGGGCTGGCCGGCCCAGTGCCTGCCCGGTTGTAGGCCCGCACCGTCACGTGGTACTTGGTGCTGGGGTGCAGGCCAGTGACTCGGGCACTGGTATCTAGCCCTGCTGTCCTCACTCGGTCAGCGGCAGCTTCCTTGTCCCCAGCTTTCCAGTAGCGGATCTGAAGGGGGAGGGGTACCCTAGGGTCAGTGGTCAAACCCAGGACCTCAGGGCTACCCTGACCCTGGCCCTGACCACCGACGTTCTGTTCCTCTGCTGCTCACTCTGGTCCTTGTGACTCAGTCTCAGGTCTCAGAACCTGGACACCAGACCATGAGCTCCAAGACAGCAAGGACAAGTCAGTGTGAGTCGCTGCTGCCTTCTTGATGCCCTGCCGAGTGCCCAGTCCAAGGAAGTGCTCAATACTGGGCTGAAGGAGGGAGCGAGTGAGTGGGCAGGTGCTCCATGGGCAGGGGGCGGGCACAGACTCAACCTGGTGGTGGCCTGCTGGAAGCCAACCCTATTAACTGAGGGCATCCAGTGAGGCTCCGCTAAAGGATAGGAGATGCCTATTTGTACCAGCAAATCAGTCCCTGGACCCCCAGCAGACTTATGCTGGCTGTCCAACAAATGCAAACCCATTTTAATATTAAGACCTGCTAAATATGCTTCCAAATCAAGGGGAGAGTTTGAGTTATCTCCTCACTGGGGCTTGCCTCACTATTGTGCTTAAGCCCAGAGCTGACTCTCCTGGAATGGAATTTACAACCTCACTAGTCCCCACTGATGATTCTCCCTCGGGCAATGACATTTCTTGCTTTTCCTTCTTTCCCTTCCTCTTGCTCCCTCTCTCTCTCCAGCTAATCCACAGTACCCCAGTGTGGAGTCACTGATGGGCCCAGGGCCCCCCCACTGGGGACAGGACTGCTCTCTGGTATTCTCTGAGGGTGGCAGGCTAACCAGGCTCTGACATGAGAGTGGGAGGCCATGCCGCTTCCAGAACCCACTCCTCCTCCCCCGGGGGCTCCCGTGGCTTCCAGAACCTACTCCCCGCCCCCCCCACCCCCAGCTCCCGAGTTTCCAGAACCTGCTCCTCCTCCTCCTGGGGCTCCTGTACCTTCTAGAACCCACTCCTCTCCCCCCCACACCCCCGGGGGCTCCTGCAGCTTCCAGTGGGGCTCTAGCCAAGCATTTACTTCAAGGCTGTCTGCTGGTCAGTCTTCTCCACTGGGCAGCAGCCTTAGGGTCTTAGCTAAGTAAGGTTGTCCACAGTGCTGCATACACTGGGCGCTGTTTGCCAAGTCAGTGAATCAGTGATCCCAGGAGGAAAGGTTAATGAGCTGTGAGGCACCCCTACCTAGCCTTGAGGCCCCAGCATCCCTTCCTCTCCCAGGCCCCCAGTCAGTACTCACCTCGTACCCCAGGAGAATACCATTCATGTTCTGCTGCACGGGTTCCCAGGTCACGTTCATCTCTGAGGATGAGACCCCCTTGGCCCAGACCTTGGTAGGGGCCACCCTGGGCTCTGGGGACCAAAAAAGTATGGGTTTGGGTTCCCAGGGCCTCCCTGTGTCCTACAGAGCTGCTGCCAACCCGGACAACCCTTGCTTAGGACGGGAGAGAGTCCAGGTCCAGGATGAAGTCAGGGGGGAGGTCTCAGAGCATCCCCCAGGCCCACTTGTATTCCCAGACATCCTCTCTCCTCCGTGCCCCAGGCCTGAGGGGCAGACAAGGTAGCCAGTGGCTTAGGACCCGGGTGTCCTCTCCCCCACTATGGTGGAACTGAGCAGGGGTGTGAGGAGCACGGACAAGTCGCTGCGGTAGGGACGCGTGGTGGGCCCAGGGGCGGCCCACCTTCCTCAGCCGAGTACACCAGCGCAGTGAGGCTCTCGGGCCCGTCCCCACGGCGGTTGTAGCTGCGGATCTTGACCTCAAAGGGCGTGTAGGGCCGGACGCTGTCGTTGCTGTAGACGAAGTACTGGGCGTCGGCGCCGGGCACCCGGGCGGTCTGCCAGCCAGCACTGCCCTGCCTGCGGAAGGACAGCAGGTAGCCGAAGCCGTCTCCGTTCTGGTACTCCCGAGACACAGGCTGAGGGGCAAGAGCGTGGCATGGGCCAAGGGCTGAGGGTGCATTCCCTACCCATCCTCCAGCCCCATCCAGCCTCCCCCAGAGGGGCTGCCCAGGACGCGTGTGCCTGCAGTGGTTTTGTCCTGCATGGGTGCAAGGGCAGGGGTGTCGGGGGAAGGACGCTGTCTGCTCTTGAGTGGGGGCTGTGTAGTAGCTCCGCCTGGGTCCTCTGCATGCTGCTCCAGCCCAGAGATAAGTCAGGATGGGGGCTGGGGGCCAGGACTTGTCGTGTCGTGTCTGTCCCGTGTCCCCCCTGCCCCCCCGAGAGCTGGAGGTGTATTTCTGCCTCTGTCCCTGCAGCTTACCGTCCAGTTGACGATGAGCTCTCCGGGGGCTCCACCACCTCCGCTGAGTCCTGAGGGTGCCACTGAGGGGGCTGTCAGAGCCAAGGGACACAGATGAGGCTTGTTAATGCACAGTGAAGGAACAGAAGTCCCAAGCCTGTGCCTGTAAAGCATCCTAGGACGGGGACACCCCTTCAAATGGGCCCTGGTGTTATCCTCCAACAGTACCTCTGGACGTGGGCTCTGCAGTTAGGCAGACCTGAGGTGAAATCCCTCCTCTGCCACTTACTAGCTGTGTTTCCCTAGGCGAGTTCCTTAACCTCTCTGAGCCTCTGATTCCCCTCTCCATAAGATGCAGATAAGGTTTCTCTCAAAGGGCTAGAAGAAGAATAAAATTAAACCAGACAGTGGCTAGCAGATATACATAGATAGTAGATACTCCGTAAAGGATAGTGTCCTCTTTCTCCTGTTGGTTTAAACTAAATAACAGAGACCAACTCCATTTTGCTTTACATTAAGGGGAATAAATAATCCAGACTGCAATTAATGCAAAAAGCATTTCCTGTGGGTTGCAGGGTTTTTTATTTTTTTTTTTCTTTTTGCGGCAGATTTAATTTCCTAATTGTCTCTAGAATTCAACAAGACTGATATTAAAACAAGAATGCGTTTAATTAGATCACGAAGCTTGGCAGAGGGTAACTTGGCTGAGGGTCAAAATCTTTCTGCAGAGAATCCAGCAGCTGGAGACTTCTCACTTGGTTCTGGTGACGATAGCTGATAATTTGCAAGGGGCACATAAACACATTGCCCATTTGATCCTGTGAGGAGGGCGTCATTATCACTCTGAAAAGGGTGGAAAGACTAAGCCCAGAGCTGTTAAGTGACTTGCCTAAAGTCACACAGCTAATAAATGGCACAGCTCGAATTTGAACTCTGATTTCAAAGCCCATCATCTTTCCTCTGCCTCATAGCTGTCTTTGTGCTCATCAACTCTCGGGATACTAAAATGAAGGAGACCACTCCTCATTCTGACTCTCCAAGAAGTTCAGTCAAAGAAAGTGCTCCTTCTGGAATTCCTTACTCAGGAGAGGTACCACTTAAAAATGTTGAACGATTACAGAAAGAGCCCAGAGATTCAGCCCGGGACATATAGGAAACCATGTTTAAGAGATCACCAGGGGCAGGCCCCATGGCTTAGCGGTTAAGTGCGTGCGCTCTGCTGCTGGCAGCCTGGGTTCGGATCCCGGGCGCGCACTGATGCACCGCTTCTCCAGCGATGCTGAGGCTGCGTCCCACATACAGCAACTAGAAGGATGTACAGCTATGACATACAACTATCTACTGGGGCTTTGGGGGGACAAAATAAAAATAAATAAAATCTTTAAGAGATCACCAGACGGCTGAACCTCACTACAACTCCAGCGGGGCAAGCCTAGTGGGCAGGGAAGGGGAGGCAAGGTCTTAATTCCACGCTGCCGGTCTCAGGCTCCCGGGGCCTTTGTTCTGAGTCTCCCCTGTGAAAGGCTCAGAGGGTGGGCAGGGCCTCTCAGCAGATGCTGGCCGGGGCATGTGCCACCCCGTCTCCTGGGTTCTCACCTCCCCTTCCTTCCCCACTCAGGTTCTGACACCCACATGCCCTTCAGGGAGGTCCTGGGCAGATTATCCATTCCTCCTGCTCCCCAAGAAGCCATCTAAGGAAGGACTTGGAGATATTGCTGCTTCCACCCCCTGCACAGCACACGTGCACACACGTGCACACATACACACACATGTCTTCCTCATGAGCTGATTTCTGCAGCTCATGCCCTTCCAGAGGGGACATCCATCCGCCCACCACCCTATGGTCCTGGGTTCAAGTCCAGGCTTGGCCAGTGTGACCCCTTCTCCACACTTTGGTTTTTCTATTTTTTTAAATTAAAATTTTTGTTTTGAGGGGGCCGGCCCAGTGGCGTAGTGGTTAAGTGTGCACACTCTGCTTCGGTGGCCCGGGGTTCACAGGTTTGGATCCCAGGTGCAGACCTGCGCACCGCTTATCAAGCCCTGCTGTGGGGCCAGCAGGGTGGCGCAAGCAGTTAAGCGTGCACTCTCTGCTGCAGCAGCCCAGGGTTCGCAGGTTCAGATCCCGTGTGTGCACCGATGCACTGCTTGTCAAGCCATGCTGTGGCGGTGTCCCATATAAAGTAGAGGAAGATGGGCACGGATGTTAGCCCAGGGCCAATCTTCCTCAGGAAAAAAAAAAAAAGGAGGATTGACATCGGATGTTAGCTCAGGGCTGATCTCCCCTCCCCGGCCAAAAAAAAAAGCCATGCTGTGGCAGGCGTCCCATGTATAAAGTGGAGGAAGATGGGCACGGATGGTAGCCCAGGGCCAGTCTTCTTCAGCAAAAACAGAAGGATTGGCCACAGATGTTAGCCCAGGGCTGATCTTCCTCATACATACACACACACACACACACAATTTCTGTTTTGAGATCATTGTGGATTCACATGCAGTTGTACGGTTGGCCCATTTTTTAAGCGAGGGGTTTGGACTGGATGGTTCTTGCAGCCCTGGCAGGCTGTGGCCAGGGCATACTGTGTTGTGCAGTGCAGAGGCCTGCCGTGACTGTGTTCCTTTCGGAGCTGCTTTGTTAGAGAGTCTGAAGCCTGGCGAGCAGGGCTGGAACTTGGGGTTCCCTTTAAGGAAGCTAGGGTCTGTGCCTTGATGTTACTTCTCTCTGGGACACCCAGGACTCTGACCTGCTTCCTGGGTCCGGATTTTGCTGGAGGGCCCACTGGGCTCCCCAGTGCCCAGGATGTTGCTGGCTAAGACACGGAACTCGTAGTCCATCCAGGGTGTGAGGCCCAGCACCTGGGCGGTCTCGGTGTTGCCCTCGATGTTGGCGGGATCTGCAAGGCAGCAGGGAGTCAGTGTCCTGGCCTACATTTATTGGTCTGGATGGAAAGGACAGGGACTGGGCCTGGGTCGCCTCTTTGTACCCCACCCATTGTGGTGCCTCCCGTATACTAAGAGCTCAGTGCCTTGTTCAGAAAGGATCTGAAAACCAGTCGACTTCCCGCCTTCAGCCTTTGCCGGTGCCGTGTGCACCCTACCCCGTCGGGATGCTTTCATTGCCCCAGCTGTAGTCCTGCCAAAGCTTCAAGGGCACAGACTGAGTGCCTCTTCCTCCAACTCGGTCCCCACTCTCCTGCTGCCCTGTGATCACCATCTCCCCAGCTGGCCTGGGAGCTTCCTGCAGACCGAGGGCCTAAGCTTGTCCCTCTTTGAAGCTCCGGGCTCAGTCCCACACTCGGACCTCTGACCCTCCACCCCGGCACATACCCAGGCCTTATCAGTACTGACTCGGGTGGGGCCTCACACTTACTGGTCCGAACCTGCTTCCACTTCCCTGCAGGTGGAGTGCGAGCTTGCAGGCTGTACTTGGCAATGGGACTGTGGTTGTCGAAGCCACGGCTCCAGCTGAGCTGGACAGTGGTGTCACCGATGTTCCTCACCACCACGCCTCCCGGGGGACCCGGCGGGCCTGCACCAAGAGGTTGGAGCACAGTGGGTCAGAATGGGGCAGCGTCAAATTTGAGCCAACCTCCTCCAGGCTGGCTTGGGCTGATGCAGTACCAAGAAGGGGCAGCAGAGGGCGCAGCAAACACACCCGGGTGGGAGGGCAAGAAATGGGGGCAGTGGGTAGCAAATGGGGGGTTGTGAGGTGGGAGGGATGTGTCCAAGCCTGGAAGGGTCACAGAGGCCCTCAGAGGGATGTGTATAGCTTTCCAGCAGTAGACTCTGAAAACTTCTGGCCTCAGCAAAGTTCTTCAGTCTTGGGATGTGTTTGGGAGTGGAGTTTTAAAATTTTGGCTTTGGAGGGAGAATACCCTATTCATTTAGGACCTGCGAAGAACCACGAGATAAGTTCAGCTCAGTGGACTTATGCCAGAAGCCCTTCCCTGCAGCTTGCAGGGTGAGGGGGCAGTTAGGGAGTGAAGGTCAGAATAGCCCAGCTGGGCTCTGAAGGAGTCGGGGTGGGATGGGGGTGGGAAACCTCATCACCTCGGACCAGGACCGTGGCTTCCTTGGACGCACTGTCCACCACCGTCTGAGCCACACATGTGTACTTCCCACCGTGGCGCAGCTGGGCGTTCAGGATGGTCAGATCCCCAACCGTCTCCTTCTGCACACAGGGGACAGGAAGGGCAGGTCAGAGGAAGCGGCTCTGCCTAGTGCAGTGAGCCATGAGACACAAGGCGGGCTCAGAGCCCTGCTCCATTATGTCCGCGGCCCCCGCTGCCTCTCAGTGTTCCTGTCTGTTCAATGGGAGGGATCAGCTCCCCCCACTTAGTACCACCGGGGACTGAACAAGTTTGTCACAGAAGACAGTCAACGGTGGTCCAAGTCAGTGACGTCATTGCACTGGGGGGCAGGACAACAAGAATAGTAGTGGGCAGTGAGTCTTGCGGGGTACCCAGAATTCCAGGTTTGTCCCTCGCCCTCTCCTAAGTGCATGGACTTCTGGTGGGATCCAGGGAACTGCTGAATCCAAGGAGGAGCTTGCCATGCATGGCATTCCTGAGGGAATGGGGAAAGGCTTTGGGGGGTGGGATGATGGTTAAGATATCTTGGGTCCCCTGTCTTATCCAGAGTAGAGAGGGGCCCTGGGTGCTCTGGTCTCAGGCCTTACCACACTGGCCCTCCGGTAGTGACCCCCGGGCTTATCGAAGTCGATGGGGAAGTCGTCCAGGGTCCAGATGAAGGTGAGGTCCATGGTGGGGTCGTGGGAGGCATGGCACTGCAAGGTCAGGTTGTCTCCCAAGTTGATGTCGGCACTCGATGGGGCTAGCGTGATCTTGGTCCCATCTGCCAAGAAAAACAAGGCCCTGGGTGGTTGGGGGAGGAATAGGCCCAGGCAGGGGCAGCAGGGCAGATGAGACGGTTTGTCCTAAGCCCAGGAAGGAGAAGAGGCAGCGTGGCCAACAGCAGCCTGACGTCTCTGCCGCCCCACGAATGCGTGGGAGCGGGGCAGGACTAGATTCTGGATGGGGCGAGGTGGTGGTCCCAAGTGAAACCAAATCCTGAGGTAGCCTCAAAGCCAAGCTAGGAGGAATGTGGGAACACAAGAGCAGGATGGCAAGGAGGGATGACACCCCATGGTGGCCAAGCCCACCAACCTCAGCTGGACCACAGCCCTTACCTCGCACAGACAGGACGCCTGTGCTGTTAGCTTTGCCCATGAAATTCTCAGCAAAGCAGGTGTATTTGCCTTCATCTGACCGACTGATGTTTCTTATGATCAAGGTGCCATCCGGGGTTACAGTCACTCTGTAGCGAGGACAGAGCAGATCTAGCCAGCCCAAGGACACACTGTAGTCCTGGGAAGGGGACTCGCCTCCAAGGAGAATGAAAGGGAGCAGGACTTGCTCAGGTGGAGTGCGGGTTGTACCTGCTGCTGTTGACCAGAATCTCAGTGCCTTTGCTCCAGAGCACCACGGCCTTGGGAGCTGCCCGGGGCTGACAGGGGATAACAACCTCTCCCCCGCGGGCCGCCGGGATCAGACGCCTGACGGGATTCAGCCTGAAGTCGGGGGCCAGTGCTGGAAGGAAAGGGGAACGTCTCACAGTCACCCAGGGAATCGCAACAGTACCTGGTGCCCTTGATTGAGACGTCACCTGGCTCCGTACTGAGCATCTGAGGGACCCTGCACGGCCAGTCCCTGAGTGACTCCGAGCAGCACCACGTCCAGCATGCATCCAGGAGCCAGCCCCTCCACACCACCTCACTGCCACCATGCTGGTCCAAGCCACCACATCTCCTGCTGGACTCTCGAAAAGCCCCCTGATAGGTCTTCCTATTTCTGCACTTTCTTTCTACAGTCTCTTCTCCACCCAGCAGTCAGGAATATCTTTTTCAAAATGGAAATCAGGCACTCAGAATGAAGTCCAGTGCTCGTAAGGGATCACAACTAAGTCCTCTCCTCTCCAATCACATCTCACTCCACTCTCTCCCACTCATTACGCTCCAATCACCTGGGCCATTTTTTGTCCTTTGAAGATGCCATGCTTTTTCCTGCCTCAGGACCTTTGCACTTGCCCTACATTTGCTTGGAAATCCCATAGACCTTCACATGGCTGGCTCCTTCTTAACACTCAGGTCACATCCCAAATGTGACTTCCTCAGAGAGGTCTTCCCTGATCGTCCTTGTCTAGCTGCCCACCTGACCCCATCACTCAACTGGATTTTCTTTATACTGTATTTTTTGTAATAAGCTGTCTGAAATTATCTTATTTAATTACTTGATTTTGTGTTTCTTTGCCTCCCTCTCTCCACTGGATTGTAAGATACTTGAAGGCAGAGCCTTTATCTTTCGTGTTCACTCCTTAGGAGGAGGTGTTGAATGAATATTGGTTGAATGAATGAATGAATGAGTCTTAGTTAAGCCTCACTACAATGAGGTAGGTGTCGTTGTGTCCATTTCACAGATGAGGAAACTGCGGCTCCACAAGCTTGTCACACAACGAAAAATACCAGCCGGCGTGGGCCTTTCCTGGGCACACGTGATGTGGTGAGCGGATCCTTATCCTTTCCCTCTGTCGTCTCCTCTAGTCCTCACAACAGCCGTGTGAGGGCAGGACTCTCATCGCCCACATTTTAAATCAAGAAACTGAGACACAGAGAGATTAAGTAACTTTCCAAAGGTCACATCGCTGAAGGGGCTGGGTTAAACACAAATCTAATAGTTCTGTTTTCCAGTGACTTCTGCCACCTTTTTTCACTGCAGCAAACATTTACTTTGTCTGTGCCGGACATGGAACAAGCCAGAGACGCTGTCCTCAGGGAGTTCTCCACCTAGTGTCTCATCTCCCTTCTCAAATCCCTGAGTTGCACTCGGAAGCTGTCAGGAAACTAAGGGAAACCCCGAGGATGCGTTTGTGTGTTTGGAAACGCTGCAGCGCAGAACGAAAGGCCGCTTTGTGCCCCGGGGCTGCTCCTGCCTCCCCGGGCCCCTTACCTTGCACGACCAGCTCAGCGCTGGCGTAGATGGTGCCATGCTTGTTCTCTGCCACACACTGGTACATGCCCGAGTCCTCCAGGCTCAGCTTGGAGAACCGCAGGTCCCCGGCCAGCACCTCTACCCGGCTCTGTGGAGAGGAGCCCGGCCCAGGTCGGGCAGGGGGATCAGGGCCACCGGAGGACCAGGCTGAAGGGGCAAACTGGACTGGATGCAGGGGGTACTGAGGCTGCCACTCCCCCCAGGAGGGGACTCATATGCCCAGTCCTATCTCAGGGCTGCCTGGAATCCTAGGACTCGGAGACTCCCCAGACCTCCCCGCACAGCAGCACACTGAAGCCAGAGGGGCGAGGAGCCCCATTCAGGACCACGTAGTGTTTCTGTGGCTGAGTGGTGCCTGGGCCTAGGTCTCTGGACCCTCCAGTTGGGACTCTATCCAGTCGACCAGCCTGTGGCCTTGTGACTCTGGAATGGAAAAAAGCACCTAAACCACACTATGGCACCCAGGGTGCCAGGCCCAGAGGGCCTGCCAGTGGTGCAGGGGGAGTCTGAGGGGTGAGGGAACCAGGTGAGCAGAGGACAGTGGCATATGGGAGGAAGCCCCAAGTCTCCTACCCCAGAGACCAGGGGCTCCCCGTTCCGCAGCCAGCGCACTGCGGGCCGGGGCTTGCCGGCAGCTGCGCAGCCCCACCGAAGGTTGGAGCCAATGTCAGCCTCCGTGTCTGAGATCACCTTGAGCCACTCTGGCTGAGCTGTGGGGAGCAAGAGAAAGAAAAGCTGGAGACGAGCTGGGAGGACCTCCAGCTCCTTAAAGGGGCCGGAAGGGCAGGACTGCAGTTCCTGTTCTAGACAGCAGAGGGTGCCAGCAGCACTCCGGGACAGGGTTAGGGAGAAGCAGGCTCCAGAAAGTGGGCAATTTGTGCCTGTGCCAGTGGCTGTTTTAGTGGCTTAAGTCATTGTAAAGCCTTCCGTGTGCTTTCTGCAACCCCGACTGGAGCTCTGAGCTGGCCACAGCGTTAGCCTCTTCTGGCCCCACATCCAGTGCATCCTGGGGCAAGAAGGCTGAAGCAAGGGGCTTCGCAGTCTCCTCCCTGACTTTGGGGTCTGCCTCCAGGGATGGGGCAAAGGCATGGGGAGAGGGTGTCCCCAGGTCTGTACCCTGCACAATGATGCGGCCCTGGACCGTGTCACGTCCCTTGGAGTTCTCTGCCTCACACTCGTAGGTGCCCTCGTCCTCAAAGCTGACGCTGGGGATCTGCAGGGTGGGCTCCGCTGTGGCCCACTGTGGGGACAAGGAGCCATCCACTTTGCGCCACTTGATCCGAGGGACAGGGCTGGCAGAGAAGACAAAGCCAGAAGAGGTGGGCTGAGCTAGGCAGACTCCCCTGTGCCTACAGCTCCTCACAGAGATGCTGGGCAGGTGGGGATGGGGAGGAGGGCAGGGGACCCCAGGCCTGGGAAGGCACAGAGGGAGAGAGGCAAGGAGGGAGGGAGGGGCCTCTCCCAGGTGGCTCTGAGCACAGGCAGGGAATGGGCAGGAAGTGGGGCTCCCCTCCTCTCTTCTCCTTGCAACAATCGTGACCCTGATGAGGCTGGTCTTCTGTGTGGTCCAAACTCTGAGGCTGGCTTACCCTCCCCACCCCACCCCGCGCTGGCCACCCCGCCGCTTCTGGGCTTGCCCTCCTTGGCAGAGCCTGTGACCTGGGTCTTTATGGGTCCCCCTCCTCTCTCCCCAACCGGGCCTTGCCTCTAATCCCCAAAGGGTCTTCAGTTGTTAGTAATCTGTGTGCTAACATGGACTGAGGTGTCAGTGAGTCCTAAAGAGTTAATATATTACCCTTCCATGTGCTTTAAATGTGGGTTTTCTGGAAGCCCAATAACTTTTCACAAAGCAGGGGCATCCTGGGTAACCGCAGGGGGCATTTGAGGGAAGAGGGGACCGGTGTACAAACCACGCTCTTTCATCCACTCTACAGACATTTATGAAGTACTCGCTATCTGCTTAGCCCTGCTCCTGGGAATCCTTCTTCTGGGAGAGCAAGATTTCTATTGTCATCTTTTAGGAGGTAACGGTTAGCATCCATAGAACATTCACCGAATGCCAGGCACTGTTCTAAGCACTTTACAGGTATTAACTCACTTAATCCTCATAACAACCCTGTGAGGTAGGTACTATTATCACCATGTACAAATATGAAAACTGAGGCACAGAGAGTTAAATAGTTTACTCAACATCTCCTAGCCAGCAAGTGACAGAGCTGGGATTTGAACCAGGCAGGCTGGGTTGGGGTCTGTACACTGTGCTATCTGCCTTCAGCCTGGGGTGTTGCATAAGCTGTCTGAGCCTGTCATGCATTGCTGGGGGGACCGAGTGACCCAACATGTGTCACTTGGCATGCGTGATGCCTCCCCCAAGAGTTAGTGCTCAGGGAGTGGTGGTCACTACCCGCTGTGGGTCCAGCACTCTGCTAGACCCTGTGAGGGGCACCTGGATGATTGAGCGCTGACCCTGCCTGCCCTCTCCCTGAGGTCACCCATGCCCCTGAGGGGCTCTGAGAGGCAATGCCCTGGCCTGCTCCTTCCCTCCTCCACCACCTACTTCCCAAAGGCGAAGCACTCCAGGGTGACCTGCTGGCCCACCAGCGCGTAGGTCTCTGCTGGGAACCGGGCCTTGATGCTGGGTGCAAACAGCCTGGTATCTGTGGAGAGAGGGGTTTTGCAGATCAGATGCCAGTGATCCAGGTCAGGTGCTCCCGTGCTTTGGATCTCAGCACTACCCTGAGCCGATTCTGTCTTGACTCCCTTTCCCCTTGGGGGCCTGGGGTGGGAGCAGGAAGACCCAGACGTCCAGGCCCCAGACCCTATGCCCCGAGAGCTCTTCACAACCTCCGTGGGAAAAACCTCTTTCCTAACGCCCAGCTCCCTCCTTCCCGCCATATCTGTGACTCTGACCTTCGGCAGCTAGGTTGAGCTGAGCGAACTTGCTGAAGACGCTCTTGGTGGAGAAGTCCATGTGGCTGGTGGCCAGGCAAGAGTAGTTGCCCAGGTCCGAGGCATTGGTCCGGGCGATGTACAGGTTCCCCGTGGTCTGGGACACAAAGTGACGCCCGTCCGTCGGGATGAAGTTGGGGAACTCGTTGAGGAGCCAGCGGTAGGACAAGCCTAGGATGTGGGGAGTTTGAAGAAACCAGGGGGTGCTGGGCTAATGGGGCCACTCTGGGTGGGACCCAAACATGCTGGCAGGGATCTGTAGACCCTTTCCTGAGATCCTCCTATGCTCTGAACTGGGGCTGAGGGGAGACCTAGAGAGAAGATGCGACTTTATTCCGGCCCTCGGGGGGGGTGCTGTCTGATGGGGAAGCAGCCTCTGCCCTCAGGGACCACCCAGTCTGAAGCGGGGAGGCAGGGCACAGAGCTGGAAAATGACAGCCCAATGAAGGACACACAAGATCATTTAGAGTTAGGGACGGGGGTCAGTGCTTCCAAGGCTCACTCACAGTCCCTCCTCTGCTGAGCGGCTGGAAGCCCCACCCGTGCCCGCTCTCTACCTGTGGCCCGGTCCCAACTCACCTGGATAGTGGGCTGGTGGGTTACAGGGCAACATCACACCCCAGCCTTCGTGGGTCTTCACGGGGTCTCGCTCCTCCTTGGAGAACTCCTGCAGAACTGGGGTGAAGACCGGGCACTCAGGCACCGTCCTCCAAGGCTGGGGCCCCTCCCTGTGGGAAGTAGTCACCTGCCCTTTCTGGACACTTTCTCCAGCCCCTCTCTTCCCCTCCCCCAAAGTGTCCTGGCACCCCATGGGTCTCACAGCCGAAGCGGAGGACAGCCTCCCTGCTGACGACGGTGCCCACTGGGTTGGAGGCCAGGCACTGGTAGACGCCGGCATCCTGTGCCTTGGAGGGGTTCATGATGACCAGGTTGCCTCCCACCAGCTGGTGGCGGGAACCTGCCTCCAGCTTCATCTCGGTGCCATTCATCTTCCACCTGCAGCAGGGGCGGAGGAGGGACCCTCCCGAGTCCTGCCCGGCTGGACCCAGCCTGGCGACAGGGCTGACGCGAGGGAAAACATAACGGCGGCCCAGGCCTCCTGGCACCCACTGGTGGGGGAGGTCTTACCTGTAGGTGGCAGGAGGGCTGGCCCGGGCGCGGCATGCCAGCGTCACCTTCTCCTCTGTGGACTCCTCTGGGAATAGCAGACCGAGCGGCTGGTCTTCAAAGACGGGCCCAAACGTGGCTGGGGATCCCCGGGCCGAGCTCCGAGCTGCAGATGGGGGACACCACCAGAGGCCTCAGGGCCTGGGGCAGCTGCGGCCCGGCCTCTAGGGCAGTGCTGTCCAACAGAACTTTCTGCTCTGATGGAAAAGTTCCCTTTTCTGCACTGTCCAGTACAGTAGCCACTAGCCACTAGCTAACAAGCCCTTGAAATGTGGCTAGCGCGGCTGAGGAACAAAATTTTTAATTTTATTTAATTTTAATTAATTACAATTTAAATTTCAATAGATTGGGCAGGCCCCATCTGGTCAAGTTCGTTCAGTCACTCACCCATCCTACACTCAGGTATTGAGCACCTGCTGTACACCTGGCACTGGGCTAGAGACTATGTTGCAAAAATGAATAAGACACAGACCCTCTTCCTCAAGGAGCCTGCAGTCCAGGGAGGGGACAGAAAACCGATAGTACAAGGTAGTGAGAGCCACAACAGCAGTGCAGGGTCAAGGTGCAGGGCCTCAGCGTGGAGGCAGGTGACCCTGTCGGGGGCTGTCAGGGGGCCTCTCGGAGGAGCTGATCTGCAGGATGAGATGGGCCTTGAAGGACGCATGCGAATCACGGGCTAGAAAGGCGAGAGAGGATGTGTGTCCCTGGAGCCTGATGCTCCTTCCGGGCCAGCGGAAGGTGCCCCGGCTTGGGCCTCTGATCAGCTCTTATGAGCCCTTCTGAGGCTCGTGTGTCCACCTGTGAAACAGGAAAAACACGACTCACCCTGCAGGGCCTGCGGGAGGGTCCAGCCTGGCACAGGGCACGTGCTCAGCATATGTCAGCTGGCCCTGAGAGGGGCTGGGCTGGGGAAGGAGGCCTGTATGGTGGGTGGAGGGTGTGCAGGTTGCTTTGGGGGCATTTTTATAAAATTCCAGTATGACAATTAAAGACAGAGAGGCCCAGAAAAGGGACTGACTTGCCCATGGTCACAGGGCAAGTCTGTGGCACACGCTGGTCTAGACCTTGGTCTGTGAATTTGCTGAGCCAGTGGGTGTCACACGTGCAAATGGAGTTCTCATGCCTGGCGCTCCGGGGGCAGATGCCTCTCTCTTCATGCACGTTGTCCGGCCTCACCAGGGCAGGGGACACCAGGGCACTGAGGGTGGTGTTTCACGCCTGCCCTTCCACAGGGGTGGGGAGGGGGCTCTATTTGCTGATTCGTGGGGCGGGCACACTGTGCCTTTGTGGTGTCAAGCAGGGGCCAGGCCACCCCTAATTGGCTCCTACCCCTCAATGCAGCTGATTCAGGCCCTCCTTTGTGGGTCGTGAAGGGTGGGATCCCCATTAACCAATTAGTGCCTCCTTTCTCGGCGCATCTGGCTGTCAGCCCTATTCCAGGGGTAGGGAGGGGCCCCATGCTGCAGCTGAGGCGCAGCCCTGGACCCCTGGGAGTGAGGGCAGCTGTTAAGCAGCTCTCAGAGTGAGGAAGGAGACAGGGCTCCCTGAAATGGCATCCCCCACCCCCTCCCACCACCCATCGCTATCCCTCACTGTCGCCACAGGCCTCGGAGACGGCGGCGGCATCCTCTGGGCTGGGGAGCCCAGCTTAATCCCAAGTTAATGATGGTGGTGGAGGGTAGGGACCCTTGCCCCAGCTGGGACTGCCGGGAGGGGGTGGGGGGAGGCCAGGCTGGTGGGAACCACCTTGCACAATAGCAGCTTCCAGTAACTCTGTCTAGATGATGGGGGGTGGTTGAGTGGTCCTGGGGCACACTGATGCTTTAAGACTTGCTTTCTTCCTGAAAAAGCTTTCTCTCCTCTACACTCAGCCACGTACATACCCTCACCCCAGTATCCACATATGCACACCTCCACACCTGTCACCTATGCACACTTCCCTACGTGCACACGCACATCACACACAACACACACCTAAGCTACTCCAGTAGTCGATACACTGATTTACACACACATTGTTCCCATGCACACACAGCTATGAATGTCCATGTATATTATTTATATGTATCCCTGCATTCATAGTGATAAAAACAGGTGCTGTTTATTGAGTGCTTACTCTTTATCGGACATCATGCTCCGTATTTCCTTCTTGTAACCTCTTTACAAGAGAGGTACTGCCATTTTCTTATTTGACTAATGCAGAAACTGAGACTTAGGAAGGTTGAATAATTTGCCCCAAATCATCCAGCACGGAGCAGATCTAGGGGTTTGGACCCTGGCCAGCCTCACCCCACAGCAAACGTCCTTAACCACAGTGTCAAGTGATTCTTGACCTCAGTTTCCCATCAGAACCCCCAGAAGCCCTGTTCCATCCCAGAGGTACTGAATCAGGATCTCTAGGAGTGAGGCCGAGGAATCCAGATATTTTTAAATGCCTCATGGGCATTCTGTAGGGCAGCCGGGTTGAGAGCCATTGCACCAGGCTGTAAAGCTTTCTGTACACATCCGTCAGCCCCCAATTGTAGCACCACCTCCATGCAACTCACTCACATCTCCACCCTCTCAAACATCCACAGACACACCCTTACTCAGCCCACACCTTCCTCTGAAGCTACACACACACACACACACGCACGCACACACACAACCGTGCACGTGCGCGCGCACACACGCTCCCAGGCAAAGCCACCCCTCCTTGCTGTCCTTGTCCCACACCCTCTCTGATTCTCTCCTGATTCCCTGTCCTGGCCACTCTGCTCCCTAGACACAGGCATCAGGAAACTTGCAGAGGGAGGGGATTGGAGAGATGAGATGGGGAGGGGAATCCTTGCTGCCTTTCCTTGCACAAGGTGCCAGGAGTTGAAAGCTACATCCCCAGGGTAGGTTAGCAAGGAGAGCCAAGAGCGGCCCTCCTTCCTGGAAGGAGTGGGAACAAGGGAAGGGATGTCCACTCCTGTCTCTGGAGCTCTGGGGTGTGGCAGACCAGGTCCGCTCTCCCTTGGCCTTCCTGCCTGTCTGGTGTCAGGACCCTGGAGGCTGCCCGTACCCCTTGCCTCAGATGATGCAGTCCTGGACTGAGTGGTCCCTGAGGGAAGGCAGTGCTGAGGAGCCTGGGCATCGCTCCTCTGTCCTCTCTGCCTGGGGGTCTCCTGCTCGTGCAGCCTGGGCTCCCCACCCCAGCAGCTCCCCCGACCTGGTGGTCCGTGGCAGAGGGGCTAGGCCTGGGGGTGGGGGGCTGCAGGGCCTCCTTCGCCCTCAGGGTCAGCCCTGTTTCCCAGCAGCCTCACTGACTTGGTTGCAGGGCTGGGAGGCAGTCAGGACATAACGAGAACATCTGAAAGGGTGCCAGTGGAGTCCTTCCCTGGTAGGACGAGGAAGTTAAAACGTGCTGGCTGCAGCCTGCAGGGGTGTGGCGTGGGGAGGTGGAGTCTGGGGCGGCTAGAACTCCAGAAGGACAGTGGAGGATGGGTACTGCTTCTCCATGGAGATCTTTAAGGAGAAAAGAAACATCTGTGGATCTGGGCTGGGGTCAGGGCAGGGAGGCTGAGTGGTGGTCCCAGCAGGCCCCTCAGCCACAGTGGGCAGCGAGGGATGCCTGCAGCTTGGGGACAGGCTGCGTCTCCGGCAACTCCTTCTCGGCATGCTCTCAGAGTCCAGCTCGCCTGGGCGTCGGCCTGCACTGCCCTCTTCTCCATGGCCTCCTCCTCCCTCCTGCCACCGCGCAGCGCCCCTGCATGAGAACTTTCGCACGAGAGACCCTCTTGACCTCCCTGGGCACCCCCCTGCCGCGTCTGCTCCTGGAGCCTGTTCCATCCACACTTAGTCTGCTTGCCAGGCTGTGGCATTGCCTGAGGAGCCGGCCCCGAGTTTTGCGGAACTGATCCCTGTCTCCTCATTCAGGGCACCCCAGAGCATACTGTCCAACAGAACCTCAAGTGACGTTGGAGATGTTCTGTGATCTCTGCTGTCCCATGTGGCTATCAGCCCTTGAAATGTGGCTAGAACAACTGAGGAACTAATTTTAAAATTTAATTTAATCTTAGTTTTAATGGGCCCGTGGCTATGGGCTCCCACACTGGGCCACACAGCCTTAGCGGCTGCGACTCTGGGCTGAGGTTGTGGAGATCTGGTGGTGCCGTAACCTTGCTGTGCGACCCAAGGCAAGCCACTCGCTGTCTTTGGATCACGCTTCTTTCACCTACAATTCCCTCTCCTCCTAACTTCAACGGGAAGGTAAGATCCACAAATGGGAAAATTTTAGCCAGGAAATGGCCTCAGAAACCTAAGTGCTACAGCAATGCAGAACCAGCAATTTCTGTAGTCATCACTGAAGTAATAGTAACCGTACAGCGGTGTAATTATCCCAGCTACTCTTCCAAGCCTAGAGGAGCCCTCTTACCTGGAGAGGAGACAAGGGCCAGGGCGAGCAGCAGCAGCAGGTGAGACTTCCTCTGGGCGGGTGTCCCCATGGTGGGCGTCTGGGCAGAGGTGGGGAGCGGAGGAGAGGAGCCTCAGCCCAGCAGTGGGGGAGTCTGGCTGGAGGCTGAAAAGGACCTAGGGAGGCAGAGGGATGGGAAGGACTCTGGGCTGAGGACGCCCCTCCCAGCTCCAGGCAGGTCTGGTCCTTTTACCTCGGCCTGGGGAGGGGCCAGAATTGCTCGAGCACTCATCCTCCCAGGGCCCCAGGGGAAGGGGCTTGGCCATTACCAAGGAGCTCTTCCCTGGGCTGAGTGCCTCCCACTGGCCCCCTGGGAGTCTGGCTCCGCCCTATACCCCCACTCCACCTCCTGCAGCCAGCAGGGTACTGCTCAGGAAGTGAAGCAGGGACTAATTGGGAAGGAAGAACCCATCTGCCTGCTCACCCAGTAATAGCTCTTGATGTAGGGGCCGTGCCTGGGTTTGGGGAATTAGCCCCATCTTCCTCTAGCAGTTGGGGGCACCTCTCCCCTGCTCCTCCCCGACACTGCCAGGGTGGGGGTAACGAGCCCCTGCGGGAGCTGTGTTAAGTCTCTCAGGACCAGCCTTGTTTGCCAGCAGTGAGGAGGGGTTTCACGGATCCATCTACTCCCTCGCCCCCCGGGGCCTGGGTAGACATTTATGTGGTGTGCATGATGGAGCCATAACCTTGGTCCCATGCGCAATGCTCCCCAACCAGAGGGGATGACGGGCCCAGACAGGGCTCAGAGACTTGGTTAAATCCTGGAGCTCCAGAGAACCTGTTCCCTGGGTGGGGGCCACTGAGGACAAGTCAGAGCCCCCTCCATCAGTGATCCTGAGAGGGGAGGGCAGGGCCAGTCTTCCCGTCGACTCCCCATCTTAGGCAGACTTTCTGAGTTCTGGGGGGAGTGTGGAATCTCAGGGGTTTGCTTCTCAGTTATTTGAGTGAGCCTGGGTCACTGGGCTCCACAGCTCCCTGTCAGAGTTGCCACAGGAGCCAGAAAGCCCAGCTGCAGACTCTGCTTCTCTGCCCTGCCTGCCTTCTTTGCAGAACCCTAAGGGCTTGGGGGAGGGGCTCCGGGGCTGGGGTAGAAGCCTGGCTGAGGGCTCTTCCACTAACTGGCTGCAAGCCCTGTGCCATCTCTGCATCTCAGTGTCCTTGTCTGTAAAATGGGTGCTCTCTAAAGTCGCTTCCAGCCTGAGACCGTGGTGCTCACAGTGCAGGGTGGCTGTGGGCCTGGGCATGCTGTCCCCTGGACGGGGGCAGGGGATGGAGAAGGCAGGGTGCAGGTGACCTAAGACTGCCCCTGGGGCCAGTGCAGGGTTTGAAGACCACCGCAAGCTCAGGATCTCCCTGTCTTCTTCACACTCCATTCCCTTGGAAGGAAAGGGTTCCCAAACCCCTTCGAACCTCAACACTCCATCACCGCACGACCTTTTCCTGCCTCCTCAACAGCCGCAGCTGGCACCTGAAGGAGCTGGGAGAGCGGGGAGAAGCGGCCCGGGCCTGTCAGGGAGGATGTGGGCGGAGCAGCTGGGTGTTGGGGTGGGGGAGCGGTGTTTAGACACGTGGCACTCCCTCACTGCCCCAACTCCAGCCTCATATCCACTTCCCTTTGTCAGGAAGGAGGCCTGGTGCCACCTCTCCTGACTACCTGCCCCTCCCCCCATCCTTGCCACTCTCAGTTCTAGACTTGAACCCAGAAATTCGGGATTTCAGCCCCTCTGACATCCCCCCAACACCCCCATCTCTGTGCCTTTGCTCGTGTGACTCCACTGCCCTGTTACACCCTTCCTCATCCTTCAAGGCCCTGCTCACCTCAGCCCTGCTAGGAAGCCCGTAAGATGCCCCTGTGTGCACAGTTAGAATTCAGCTCTGGCCTGGACCACCCCCTCGGTGCCCTGCCGTGGAGGCGCCTGGAGGCACGTCTGCCTCCGTCAGAAGGCTGTGAGCTCCCCAAGGGGAGGGGCCATGTCTCCTTCAGCTCAGTGTTGCCTGTGCCATGCAGAGAGCCTGGCGCAGAATGGCGTTGCATTTGACTGAGAACAGCTGTGATTATGTGCCTCCCGGAGCTGGTGGGCATACGATGTCACACTCACACCCACACTCACACGGGAGCTGCATATATGGCTGATGGGGCGTCCCAGTCTGCAGTGCTCCCTGGGGCAACCCCGGGGCACTCACACACTCACACACAAACTCGCACACCTCACTCTCTCAGATACACATGCACTCTCACAGACAAACTCCCGCTCTCTCTCTTACACACACTCTCACACGCACATACACTGTCTCTTACTCTCACACACTTTTGCACACACTCTCACACATCTTTGCATACACTCCCTGTCTCACACACACACTCAGGTCTCCAGGGTCAGCAGGGTGTTGGGTTATGGGAGAACCTGGCAGTATGTCCCTGGATGCTGCACAGACGCAGGGAGCTGTCCTCATGGCAGGGCCACCGGGGCCTGTGGACCATCACAGACTTCGGACTTGAGGGACAGGAGTTGGTGATAGTGACTTCATCTCCTAACAGCTGTGTGAGCGTGGACAAGTTATTCCCCCTGTGGAGCCAGTTTTCTCATCTGCAAAGTGGAGCTGGTGACTCACTTTATGGAGCTGTTCTGGGCGCTCAGTGAGGTGGTGGGGTGCTCTGCAATGGAAGTCTTGGGGCTGTTGGCCTTGCGGCTGCAGTGGGAATATGGGCATAGAGAGAGGATAGGGCTCCAGGCCCCGTGCCCACTTCATCCAGGGCAGCTCCACTTATATCTGCTTTATCTACTGGACTTGCCCACGAGGTTCCCTTTAAACAAAGGGTTCCGCAGCTCCAAAAAGTTTGAAAACGCCCCTTTGGTGCTGGTGTGCCATCTCCCAGAGTCTGGCACAGAGAAGGTGCTTAATCATCGTTTGCTTCCCCCTTTGTCTGCCTGCCAGTCCTAGGAGGTCAGTGAGGGGCTTAGAGTGCCGCTCTGGGGAGGAGCTTGGGCTCCAGGCACTTGTCCTGAGTGCGCCAGGGCAAAGCAGAGACCGATAGCCAGGGAGCTGTGGCCGGGACTGGAGACTCTGGGGCAGGAGTCTGTTGCTGCCCACCAGCCGTGCTGGCGAGAGCGGCGTGGGCATTTGTGTATGTGCGTGCATATATGTGATGTTTATATCTGTGTGTCAGGTCTATATGGCCCTGTGTATGTGTGTGGTCTGGTCTTTGTGTCTCTCTGTATGTGCGTGTGTCTGTGTACCTGTGTATGGGTATGTCTGGTCTTTATGTGTATGCCTGTGTGAGTGTGTGTGTGTGTGTGGGTCCCTGCCTGGCACAGGGTGTGAGGACCCAGCCCCTGCCTTGTTTCCCTGTGACCACTCACCTCCACCCCACAGTGGTCAGAATGATCTGTTCTCTCTCCTGCCATAGGTAATTACCGTACATCATGGATGATACAATCCCACTGCTTGTCCTAAACTTCAATTTAATTTAGGCTTTTATCAGTCACCTCTGGGCTCAAGGGCCCGGGGCACCCCCTGGGGACTGAGACCTGCAGCCTCAGAGGAGACATGGGTGGGGGAGGAGCTGGGATCGAGGAGCACCTGGGGTTGCCCTTGGAGAGAGACTGGTCAGCCCCATCACATGTACACTGAGCTCCGCTGTGTGCCAAGGCCTGTGTGAACACATGCACACACGCGTACACACACACGGAGTCTGGGTCAAAGGTTGGAGCTCATTGTCTCCCTGAAGGTGAGGCGGTTGGCATCCAGTCTTGCCCTGCAAATGTGTCCATCCCAGTATTTATTACCATGTGCCGGGCATTGTGCTAGGCACTAGGGAGACAGTAATAAAAATGCTGTCTTTGCAGAGCTCCCTGAGCAGCTGAGTGCAGCTGAGGATGTGCTCATGAGCTACAGGGGCCAGTCATCTCCCCATACCATCTGCCCTGCGACACATTCTAGAATGCCCAGGATGGAGGAGGCCTTTTGTCAGGAGCAAGGCTGGAGTGGAGCTATGCCAGGCCCAGAGCGGGCCCTGTGAGCCCTGAGCCAGCCAAGCCTGGCCCAGGCCAGCTGCCCTGGTGCAGGGGTGCAGGCACAGGCTGACACAGGCGGGCACGGGCTGTCACCCTCGGGGGCCGGTCCTGTGAGGCACCAGCACATGGGGGGAAGGGTTGCTTGGGGGTTCAGGAGCACCAGGGGAGCAAGTTGAATTGCTGGGCCCAGAAAACAAAGGGCCTGGGGGACAGCTGGAGGTGGAAGGCTGTGAGCTGGACTCCAGCACATGGCAGGTTTGCTGGGCGAGGACCCTGCACAGAGCCAGTCAGAAAATGAAAGCTGCGCTCTGCCTGAACGCTACCACTTGGAATACCCAGCTCCTGGCCCTGAATCTGTCTCTCCTTCCCCCTGGACGAGGGAGATTTGAGCATCACAGGATTTGGCAGCTTTTGGATGGGTGGTGGTAGGAAAAGGGGGAGTTTGAAGCCCAGCTGAGGGTGGAGACTGAGTGATGTATTGCAGGAGTTCCTCAGGTCCCCCCATCCTGCATCCTGCAGCGTAACACACCGTTAACAGGGTGGGTTCTCGTGCCAGCTGGCCTAGTGATTACTAGCTAGTGTAGCCCTAGTGTAGGTAACCAGTATAACCCTAGCTGTTAGGTTCATTACTTAACGTCTTGGAGCCTCAGTCTCCCATCTGCAAAATGGAGACAAGAAGGGGAGTGTGTCCCCACCTCAGGGGACACTTGTGAGGCCGGCACCGTTCCTGGCCCACAGTGAGTGCTCGGGAAAGATCAGATCTTGTCCCTGAGACTCCTTGTGGGCCCTCGCGCAGGGCCCCAGCATGCTGAGGGACACAGACACTGCCTGGCTGTGGGTGGCGCTCCCTGCCGCACAGTCACGACATTCAGGCCACACTCACTCACATTTAGGACATGACAGACTCCCACCATCTCCCTGGGCAGACGCCTCCCTCCTTTTACGCCCCACAGGTGTGGTGGGCACAGGCAAGCACCAGCAAGCATGCCACCCAGATGAGGGCACAAGGACACACAGTCACACCCAGATACCATGTGTTCAGGAGAGCACCTGACTAGGACACCCACGTGGGCGCTCCCAAGCAGGTCCT